TACAGTGTTGTACTTCTCAGAATCCTCCTTTCAACATTTTATTAAAATTTTTTAACATTCTTTTTTGTTCTTCACAAATCACAACTTTTTGAACATAAGCATTCCTCAATGATGATATTGGAAATTCCCTCTTGCTTCGCAAAGTTTTTTCTTTGCCATCTTTGTGATACCATATGAGATCTTCTCCAACATAGATTCTGTATCCAATTTAGTAGTCCAGTTTCTGTTGAAGCACCTAAACAACAAAAAATTCCTTCTCTTGCTAACATTTCCCTTTGATACACAACCACCAAATAATTAAATCAAGTAGCTCATTCATCCTTTTAACATCTTTCCTAAAATAGAAATCAAGCACTAACAATTTGTGTTGTGTGAGAACACTTTTTCCCTAAATAACCTTATAATGAGTAAAAAAACTTTTTTGACACTTTGTTTACAACATTATTTAATAGAAGCATTTTGCCAAATTGTTTTTCATATTAACGTCGGGCAGAATTTTTTTAATGTTATGTAAGATGGCTTAAATCATATTAATGCTTAGGCACAAAGTTTTTACTCTTATATTGAGCTTAGAAATGAAATTAAATCTACTATTGACTTTGGAGACTTCTCAATCCTACCAAAAACCATAAGCGCTATTTTGCATAGTACAACGACAACAACAACAACTACTACAACCGAGTTGAATCCCACGAGTGTAGGGTCTGGAGAGGGTGTGTTGTCGCAAACCTTAGTCATACCTGAAAGTAGAGAGATTGTTTCCAAGAGACCCCGGCTCAAAGCCTCAAACGATACAGAGAGCACAAAGTCACGGAAGACACAAAGACACATAAAGCAGAGGAAGCACAAAAGGCCAAGACAACTAATATAAATGAGAGAAAGGCATAGCAAATAGAAAGCAACAAACATAGAAAGCACAAAACAAAGATTGAGAAAACTACCTACCACCCAATCCAAGACGCCTACTCAACTACCCTAATTTTATCTCCCCAACGTTCCTATTTTGCATTGTATTTAGTATAATTACTGCAAAAAATGATACACACACCCACCCACTAGCACACCCTGCCATACCTCCTCTCACATGTGTGAGGCTTCCACCTAGGAAGTACCCACACACAAGTTTGACATTTAATGATTAGCTCATACTCCATACTGTGTAGAAGCCTTGTAATGATATCCATCTCTAGGGGATTGTTGATATGTCTACCATAAAATCTAATATCTACGTGTATGCTTCCTATGTTATAAAATAGATGCAAGAGTCAAATTTTTACACTATTTACACAATCTCATTTGACCATGTTCTCTGATCAATACACAAGGAATAATAAAGTTATGTGGAGTCTTGTTAGATTCGTCTTGATATGTACTTCCATAATATATTTTTATGAAAACAAAATTGAATATAGTAATGATTTAATTTGTGCATTGTCAAGTATGCAAATTTTAATATTTAAATGATTTTAGAACGTAGGAAGTATCTGGCTTGATGAAATATCAAGAGGCTAATATTTCATTTGGATTGGTGATTGATCATTGATGTACTATACAGCCGATCTTTTGTTAATAATAGTTTCCATTTAAGATCCTTAAACATCAGATTGCAAACTTTACTTTTATTTATCTTTGAATATCTTTCACCCTGTTAATAATCCTTCTGTCCCCAAAACAAGTTCTCATTCGATTTAATGATTTATAATGGTTGACTAAAAGTATTTACAGTTCACTTTATTTGAGGATTGGTGTAAAATTAAAGAAAATATTTTTTTTATACACTTACCAAATTTGTTTATGCCAAAACAACAAATACGCGTTCAGGGAGGACTACACCAGTGCTCCCGAGCGTAAATACAAGAGAGAAGGAAAGTAACTAGAAAAGAAAAGGGAGAAATTTACAAAAGATCCTCAAATACTCTATTTTCTCCATCTTCATGCATCAGGTGAACCCGTTTCTTTTACTGAAAGAAAAAAAATTATATACCTAAAAATGTATCAAAATTTCTACACAAGTGGCGACTTGAGTATTCTTTTATGAGATGAATAATGAAAATATGCAAAGAAAATAGATAGTTTGACTTTGTGAATAGTATATGGGAACTTGTTTTTGGGGATAGAGGGATTACCTATTATTTTAGCACCATGAAGCTGAAATTTTGATTGATGTGCACCTCTTATAGACACATTTTGAATTCATGTTTTATAAATTAACTTCTGTCCTTGTGTTTTATCAGGTGGGGCTGTGGGTTTTTGGTAGTATGCTAAAAGTTGATGCTGTAACTGCAGCAATTCTTGGTTTATCTGTCCTTCTTGTGACTGGAGTTGTCACTTGGAAGGAATGCTTAGCTGAATCAGTTGCGTGGGATACTCTGACTTGGTTTGCTGCCCTCATCGCAATGGCTGGTTATCTGAATAAATATGGCCTTATCTCCTGGTTTAGTGAAACAGTTGTTAAGGTTAGGGTTTTCTGGTTTCTTCTTACTACAACTACTACAATCTTGTATTATATTCTGGCATCCTGTTATTCCTGTAAATTCTGAACTTTAAATGATGCTATTTCCCCTATTCTCATTTGTTTAATGTCATCATGTCCCCTTATTGATGATGCTCATAATATTGTAACTAAAAAAAGTATTTCTAGCTTTCGTAGTATCTTAATGTCTGTTTTACAGTTCCACGTGTGTTTGCACTGCATATGTTCGAGTTTATCTTTTAAACATCTTGGATCAACTTCAGACTTTTAATGAATTATGGACAATCATGTTTGACCTTTTTGTTTTGATATTCTGAGGTTTAATTTGATGATGCATTAAGTCAATTTTACCAAGAAATCTCTTGACAGTGACCGACAGAAGCACATAATTATAATAATCATTCATATCATCTTAGTTTACAAATCTAGTTCATTCAACTTTGCAAAATTTAAGCACCTGTTAGATTTAATACATTTTTTTCTCTCAGCTCATGCATTATTCCATGAAGCTCCGTGGGATATGAACACCGAGTAAATTCAATCCCTTTCTCTTTTGCAGGTTGTTGGCGGGTTAGGTCTTTCATGGCAGCTGTCATTTGGCATTTTAGTTCTTCTCTACTTTTACTCGCACTATTTCTTTGCCAGCGGAGCTGCTCATATCGGAGCCATGTTCACAGCATTCCTATCTGTGGCCAGTGCTCTCGGCACACCACCATATCTGGGAGCCTTGGTACTCTCATTCCTCTCCAACCTCATGGGTGGGATCACACACTATGGGATTGGATCGGCGCCTGTCTTCTATGGTGCAAACTACGTTCCTCTTGCAAAGTGGTGGGGCTATGGATTCTTGATCTCGGTTGTTAATATCGTCATTTGGCTCGGAGTTGGAGGGATTTGGTGGAAGGCCATTGGATTGTGGTAGTGCTAGCTCCCTAGTGTGTGGGTCGTTCAAGATTTACGACGTTTTGGTGTTCATCAGTTGTGTGTTTTTTTCTTTTTCATTATTTACCTTAGGAATAATAGCCGAATGAAGGATGCACCCCGTTTGATCCATTTGTAGTTCAAGTCTAGACTTGTATGCTTATAGAATTGATTTTTGAACATAGAACATGAAACTGGAATGATTTTCATGTTCTTGATTTAATGATATTCTGCCATTCTAATTGTAATTTTTTTTACGGTTTTTTCATGTTATTGATTTTACTATCTTTTACTCCACTGTATTTGTAATTTGCTTACCACGATGTTTGTTCATAAGTTACTAGTAGGGTAAATTTCACGTATGGTACACCAACTTTGAAGTTTATTTCACTTCGGTACACCAACTTTATTTTCTTTCAGAAAAGTACTTCAACTTAATACTTTCTTTCACCCATGGTATTTTAGACGGTTTTTAGGTTAATACCCGGTTACTTATCCTACGTGTATGCCTATTTGGCTCACCCATTTAAATCATTCACTTCTTCTCTCTCCTCTCTCCTCTGACGCAGCATCATCCTTGTTAGCCATTAAAGAAGGGCGAAAAATAACCGTTGGTGTACCAGGGACTCCCTTCTTCTACATATATAGCCCTCTTTCTTCCATCCTCTTGTCCCAATTAGAAACCCTAATTTTGAGAGAAATTTTTTGAATTTGATGTCTACCGTCTCTAGCAACAGCTCCTTCCGTCGTGCATCAGTGTACTACTGCAGATGCCGTGAACCTGTAGTGTGGAAGACCTCATGGACTGATTCAAATCCTGGAAGGCGGTTCGTTGGGTGTCCTAATTATGGGGTAAGTGTACTGAAATTTCTGAAATTTTAAATGGATGTTCTTTGCGATTGGGATTTTGTTTGAAAAGAGTTTTTTGTTTTGGTAGACTCCCAAATTTTGTCAGTTCATGGAATGGAGAGATCCGGAAGTTCATCCACGATATCGTGATGTCATTCTTGGCTTACTGAGAAAGGCTGAGAATATAAGAGAAGAGAAGCCGAAGGAGAAGAGTTTATGTGGACGTCACACCTGTTTCATTTCTCTGTTCTTGGTAGTGTTCATAGCTTTTTTCTTATTGTTTTGCAGTTGTAAGGGTTGTGTATGCCAAGAGTGTTATAGTAGTGGCCATTGATTTATTGAGCCAAGTGAAATGTTGTTGTGTAGTGGATTCATTGTAGAATGTTGTTGACTCATAATGTAATTCAAGAGTGATGATTGTAGAATGAATGTTGACTGATTTGTGTTTCAGTGTGGTTTTTTAAATAGCAGCAAGTTCTGTCATGTTGTTTTATTTTAAAGGATAAATTTCACGTATGGTAGACCAACTTTGGGGTAATTTCACACATGGTATACCAACTTTGGGATAAATTTCACACATGGTATACAAACTTTGGGATAAATTTCACGCATGGTATACCAACTATGGGATAAATTTGTTGACAAATTTCACGTATGATACACCAACTTTTACGTTTATTTCACGTATGGTATACCAACTTTGTTTTCTAACATTTCTTGAATGAAATAAGATATACGCAGAAGACTTATGAATTAGATTGTACAAAATGCTTCATTTCACATATTGGAAGCTAACAAGTTTGCCCAATTACAAAAAGATTGCCCTTACTAGCTGTCAATCAAACAAAAACCAAAAAAGACAGCAAGCAAGGAAAGTAAGAACATAGGGCTACCAAAAACCCAAATAACCACCTTCTATGTCTAGCTACCAAAATCCAAAAAACGACAACTGCAGCATTGTGTATTATACTAAATTGGAGCAGGATGATCTTCTTCTGTTGGACCTGATTTGCTTCTCTTCTTTGTCTTCCCTTTCACTAGTGCTTCTTTCCTCTTTCTTGTTCCGTCTCCAGCTGTTGTTGCTTTCTTTTTACCCTTTCTCTGTCATATACACACAACCCATATTCAATGTCAAACATCTGCCCACATAAATAAAAAAAGTAATATTTGAGCAGACTATTTACCTTGTCTGTTGATTCTCCATTCCCTTTACTTGAATGAGACCTTTTGTTGTGGCCAATTTCACCACAGACAGTGCATTTCATGCGCACCTTTCTTTTTTTGCTTAACCTTCCTCCTTCATTGTGGTGTGAGGGACCTGCATCTTGGGTGGATGGTGCTTGGCTTGAGGATTTTTTTTTCTCAAGCTCCTCTGCTTCTTTTCTTGCCTTCTGCTTCTTTCCCTTTTTTTAGGTGGAGGTGGTGGTGGGAGAATTGAAGGTTCAGTTTCATCATGAGGCCACATTTCTATCATATTGATAGAGTTGATATAGTGGCTGTAGGGATCAATGTAGTTGGACACTAAGTACTGCTTATCAACATAGTCATCTATGCTTTCATTGTTATCAAGAATGCAGGAGATTGCATGAGAGCAAGGAATGCCAGTTAATTCCCAACGTCTACAGCTGCATGTCCAGTCAACCATATCTACCACATATTGCATACCACCTGGACCTTCCACCTGATATTTTGGTCTTCCATAGAATGTAGGAATGAATAGATGAGCATGCTCAAAATTATCTGTCAGTTTGGTTCTTATTTTGGGACATATTATGTCCTTCACATTTGTCATGGCCTTCTTTTTGGTTGACAAGCGCTTCATTAACTTACTCCTTATTATCTCAAGCATTGGCAGTACTGACTTGTCTCTAGCATCCAAAATGTACTTGTTAAAAGACTCACAGAGATTGTTTGTTAGCATATCACATTTGACAAATGTTTTAAACTCTGCCCTGGACCAATTCTTTGTTGGTCTTTTCTTAAGCCACTGTCTAGCCTCTGGACACCTTTCTTCAAGCTTGCTTAGACAAGATGCAAGCCTGGCTGGGTAAGAGGCTCTAGCACAATCCCAAAGCAAGTCCTTTAACTCCGTACCTCTAAACTGATCCCTGAAATTGGTGTAAAGGTGCCTCACACACATTCTATGCTCAGCTTTGGGAAATAGTCTTTGAATGCCAACTGCAGCCAATAACTGTCCACCATAAGTGTCCTTAAGAAAACATCCATCTAAGCACACAAGTGGCCTGCAATGTGCTTTAAACCCCCTCTTCAAAGGCTCCAAGCAGATGGAAATTCCCTCAAAAACACTCATGTCCCTCTACATGTTGACCCTTTATCTTGGAACCTCCTTCACCAACATCTTCATTCTCAGACTCAGAACCCCCTTCATCATCACTATTCTCAACAACATGTTCACTCTCAGTTTCAGAACCCCCTTCATCATCACCATCCTCAACAGCATCTTCACCCCCATCCCCTGTCTGGCTGGCCACCCATTTGGCCATCTCCATTGGTGTTGTAACACCCCAACCCGCATAACCCAAACCCGTGAGACAGCGGACCGGTGTGCCACTGGATTGGTATCCAAATATACAACATTTTCAAAACAATTTTAAACAAACATTCTATCAATACATATAAAAATCCATCGGAGTAATTTAAAATAAAGCAGAAGCCTTTTTAAAGTCAAACAACTTGGGATCTTGCCCGAAAACGTAATAAGCATTAAAGTTAATTAAATAAAGCATAACTACAGATTAAAGAGACAACCACGCCATCGTACATCTCCTCCTCAATGCCCTCTGGGATCGGCTCTAGGTTCATCTGTCTGATCACCTACGGACAGCAAAAAGGAAAACAACGCTACCCGCTCAGCATTGACGCTGAGTGGCACTCCATTGTAGCACAAGAATAAACATAATAATTCAATGATTAAGATCGTGCATATGTTTATCCTTTTAATAAAAATCAATTCAACTTTAAATTCGGTTCTTTAGACGGTTGACCAACAGTCAACTTATTTCCTTTCCTTTCAAAACGATTCAGGTGTTAAGGGTTCCTCATTAACTCTTTGACCACCGGTCAAACCAATTTAGACTTTCACGAAAGTCAAACCACTTAACATTTAATGCCTATGACGGAGCTAGCCTCAATCCGTAATACCGAAGATAGCCTCAATTCGGTGGAGGTAGGATCCCTCGGGCGATAGCCTCAAACCCAAGATCACAGACCCTCGTGCGCACGTCTTAACCTCATGACCAGGCCCTGCAGCCGCCCGAGCAATGGCCAGTTTCTATGTTCGACATAATAAACCAATTGATCCTAATTACTTATTAGAATTAATTAATTAACTTAATTAATTCAATAAAGTCTTGGATTTAACCATTAGGTCAAACCTACGTCAACAGAATATCCAATCAAAGCCCAAGTCAGACAGGACCTAACCCAAGTCAAAGTCAAACCTGTTCAGTCAACTCACAATCCTCAACAATTCAATTCAAATAATCAATTTAATTCAATTAACCAATTTAGCCAAATTATAGCATAAACACATATAACGATCCAAACCATTAAATCTATTCTAAACGCTATTAACTTCATAGCACGGACCTGGATTACGCGGAAATCAAATCCATAGCTCGAACGGAAGACAAATCAACGAAATCAAACGAACGGGTCAAATTGAGTCAAAACACGAAATCGACTAATCGATCTAGCGTGGAGATTAATCTGCCGGCGGTATCAACCCAGGGCAGCGGCTGGGTGCGGCGACGGTGGCGGACGCCGACGTACAGTGGCGAGGCGGCAGCAGCTCCCAGAAATCACGAACAGAGGAGCAGCTCCGGTGATAGCCTCTGTCCGGCGAAATCCCTAGCTGCAACAACGGTGAACCGGCGATGTATCAGTCCGGTGAGTCGCAGTGACCGCCGGCGAAGGTGGCGACCCGGCGTGGCGCTGCTCCAGAGGTCCAATTGCAGAGGAAATTGCGAGGAAGATGAAGAAGAGACTGACCTGAGCTAAGGGCGACGGCGGCTGGAGGCGATTGGCGGCGCTGCAACTCGACAGCGAGGAGAGACGCCGGCAGTGGAGGTGACGTCCAGCGCTCGGCGTGGCGGCGCTGCACTCGACGGCGAGGAGCGGCGGCTACTGGCGAAGGAGAAGCAGCGGCGATTGGAAACCGTCGTCGGTGGCGCTGACCCTGGCAGTGGGCGACGGACTTCCAGCGAAGGAAAGGCAGCAGTTGGCTGGTGTGGCGAGGAGGCGGAGGTCGAACGGCAGGGGAGGATGAGACGTGTATGTATATAAAATTAGGGTTTTAAGTTTATTTAATGATCCCATTCCTAAAAGGATTGGGCTTCGGACCCAAAATACCTGATTAAATGGTCATAACATGAGCTCCATAACTCCGATTCGCGAGCCGTTTGAACCGACGTGATCACAAAAATATTTCCTACGAAATGACATAAAAGTTGGGCTTAGAATCCAAATTATAATTTTAACCCCTTTTTGGGCCCAATTCATAATCAATTGCTCTAACAATTTAATTAATTCTTTTGGGCCAGATTTCGGGGCGTTACAGGTGTTGTTGACAGTTTCAGGAGCCATAGTCCAGTCATCATAAACAAAGTCCTAGTTCTCATTTAAAGACATGTTTGCCATATCATCCATATTTATATTCATTGACACACTATGCCACCCATTATCAGAAGCAAAGCCCCAATTTTCATTCACTCTTTCATCTTCAACCACGGGTGGTTCACGCTTGTCCTCTTCAAGTACTGGTGGTTCACTCGTCCTCTTGTGGATCACTCTTGTTCTCTTCAACCACTGTTGGTTCACTCTTGTCCTCTTGTTGTAAATCAACAGGTGATGGTTCATCCCTAATCACCGATGATGGTTCACCTTTGTCTTCCTCATGTAAAATCCCCTCAGATTCTGACTGGCAAATGGCCAACACTCTTCTCAATGAACTACCACCTTCCCTTTTTTTAGGTTTCAATGGATGGGTAACAGGTGGACTTTCATCATCAAGGTCCTCGATAACAACACCGTGTTTTGGTTTGGTAGGGGTATTAAGTTCATTCACTATCTTTAAGATTTCAGCTTCATCTACACTCTCAACATACAGATGAACAGAACCATACTCACACCCACACCTTGACATTTCCCATGTATCATCAGCAAATTGAAGGGGTTTCAAACTGTTGTGATCAGGGGTTCTATGATCCCTCCAATAATACCTAACCAGTCCATTAATTCCATTTTTGCCAACAATTTATCAAGATACTTCATACACATTCTATCAACATCCACACTCAACAAAAATTTCTTTTCATAAAACTGCACATTGTAACATAAAATCCTACTCATGGATGATGATGAGCAACTAAACCCCTTTAGAATAAGACATGCACTAACCTGACATGAGTGGAGCTTCCTTTCTTCTTCGCGAGTGCAACACAGAACAGCAAGGGCGTCCTCTTCGTTTTGAATGAAATCGAAATTGATAGAGCAAAAGACCTCAAACACACCTCCCTCTGTTGCGAAACTGAAAAACCTAGCCATCGTCTCGACAAATGAGAAAAAAATGACCTTTCCCTTCCTCTTCTTCCCGCTATTTCTTCATCTGTAAGCCCAGTGAATAGCTTCCAACATCTTAACAGGGATGATGCTGCGTCAGAGGAGAGAGAAGAAGTGAGTGATTTAAATGGGTGCGCCAAGTAGGCATACACGTAGAATAGTTAACCGGGTATTAACCTAGAAACTGGCTAAAATACCATGGGTGAAAGAAAGTGTTAAGTTGGAATACTTTTCTGAAAGAAAAATAAAGTTGGTGTACCGAAGTAAAATAAACTTCAAAGTTGGTTACCATACGTGAAATTTACCCATTACTAGTACTTTCCTGGTTGGAATGTCTCAACTAAAGTTTTTATTTTAAAAGATTATAATTGTGTGGTTTATATGGTTTTTTTCCTAGGTGATCAAAGGGTTTCACTTTTTAACTAAAAATGTCAAAACATGAAGGAATTTATGCAATGGAGGGTTTCATAGCAATGAAAATTGATATTTATACTCTTTTTATAAATAAACTCTAAAAAAAATTCCACTACCTATAACTAAAATACCCTCTTTTATCACATCTCATTTACTAAAACGAGAACAAAATTTTCATAAAGGGGTGCTAGTGTTAGCTTCGTGCTTTGTGTGAACTTGTATATGCATATTCTAAACTTTTTCAAACTAAAAGTTTGTTTAAGTATTCATGGTTTATGCATTACATTTTTTAATAAATCTTTGTTTTTGACAAGTAATAATTAGAGAATGATGAATAGTTTTTAAAATATCATATGAAGCTTTATTTCTTACGGAGTAAAAAATTACTAGAGTTTATAAAATCTTTTTTTAAAATATAAAACCAATTTAATTACACGTATTAAAAATATGTGTGTAAAAATGGTGAATGCATAGCTTAAAATAGACGGTGGAGGTTGTGACATACCAGCATTACTCCCTATTAGACATGTTAGGGATAACATGAAAGTAAATAATAATTGTATCAAAGAATACCAGGAAAAACAAACCAAAAAAGAGTAAAAAATAGACAAGAAGAATGGGACAAAGGAACTGTTGCTATTCTTCAGTGTGGTATGCTTATTATTACAAATTTGTACCGAATTATAAAAAAATCACAAGCTACATAGTTCCATTTTAGAAAAATAATAATATAGGTAATAGAAGATTATCAATAAAAATTCTGAAGTGTTGTTCATGAAAAAATTTCAATACAACAAAAAATGTAGTGAGTTATGAAAATAAAAGTTCCATTTCAGAGAAAAAATTACTATGTTATTTTCAAAACTATTGCAATGTTGTTTTGCAAAAAAATATTTATATAGAATTATTGAAAAAAATTCACAAGTTCTGTAGTGCCATTTTTTAAGAAATAATAATAATATAGAACGGAGTATCAAAAAATAATCTGAAGTGCAACTCAAGAAAAATAATTGCAACTTACAGAAAAACTGTAGTAAGTTATGAACTAAATAAATTAGCTCAACTGTGTAGAATAATTTATTGTTTAATTATTACCAGATTATCGAGTATTGAAAAAAAAAATTAGTTTCACTCTAAAAACACTTAAATATGGTATTATCTATATAAAAAATTTAAAAAATACATTTAAATGTAAAGTTAGAAATTAAAAAAAAAAGAGAATTTACGTAAAATAATTTCACCTTTTATTTATTTGCGAAAATAGACGCTTTTTAAAAAATTTCATTAAATGACCATTAGTTTTTTTAACATCGACCCAAAACTCGCACGCATGCGAAAAGAAGAGATTATTTTTTATGACAGTGAAAAATGAGATTATTTTTTAAAGACCGCGAAAAGAAGAGATTATTTGAGTTAATTCTTCCTTTCTCTAAAAATAGTTTATTTACAAATTCGCATTGGAATAAAGTGTACAGACTTCAAAAACTATTGTAAATTGTACGAAAAAACTATATTAAATATTCTACAAAACATAATGTGACAAGAATTTATTATTTGTATATCCAATAATCAATGAAAATGCGCAAACAAAAATTATCAAGAGACTATAACATTAACAGCATAAATTATTTTGGTACACAAAATTTAATTTTCTTCCCGTGCAACGCGCCGGTTGGAATCTAGTTGGTGATAATAGAAAAGTAAATATTCATTGTATCAAAGAATACTAGGACATACNAGAAGAATGAGACAAAGGAACTGCTGTTATCCTCAGTCTGGTATACTTATTACGTCGGACAGGGTCAAACATTGAAGCCCTCAGCACGAAGGCATATCCGATGAGCCTCTATCCATTTCTGGCAAGCAGATTCGCCGTGCTCCACAATGCATTCATCCCTCAGCTTCTTAGTTTCAGGGCAAGCACAACATATCTTCTTTTTTGGCTTAGAATCAGACACCACAGCTGTTGCAGCACTTTGATCTTTAGGTGATTGCTTTATGCCTATTGCGCATGATGATGACGGTGTGCTCTCTATAGGCAGTCCCGCCATTGTGAAAAATAACCTGTATGATATTTCAGGAAAAAAAATGCGAGTGATAGCAATACAATCATCGTTCAGGCAATGTAATAATTTCATCGGCATTCACATTTGGCAAAATGCATAAAGGAAATGCAGAGCCATGAAATGCAATTAGTATACGTTTAATAATTGATATGTCATGGGTGAGGCGAGGCACTTGAATGAAATGAATCTATTGCAAAATAGAACTAAATTTGAGACTGAGTTTTTATACCTATCTAATGGGGCCGTGTACAAAAACTATTAATGCAATTCCATGTTTCATTTGCCTAGATATTAAATCTTTCATTTCATATATACCAAAAATAGTCATAAACAAATTACGAGAAGTCGAGAATGCAACAAAGGAGTCCAAATATGAAAAACATAGTCAGTTAAATCAATTATTGCTATATCACCATCCATTGCAATTTAATGCCAGAACAAGCAAATAAACTAAGAAGAATTAATAGATGTAAAAAAAAAAAAGCAATGAAGGAATGCTTTTATAAAGGTGGTTGGAGAGAAATCCTGGAGGTGCCAAAAGAAACACTTAAGGTTAAGTATTTATATGAATGTGATTAGGGATGACAAAAGGTCGGGATAGGTTCAAGTTTCTGTACCTCCAAACCTGACCTGACTTAATTCGGGTTAGGATTTAATTTAAGCGAGTCAGGTTCAGATACTTTTTCATGGTTCAAATTCGAATTCTGGTCGGGCTAAGTGGGTAAAGGTCAGATTCGGGTTGAATGGTCATCTCTGAATTATGGAGTTGATAATGGAAGATGGGAGGAATTGCAAAAGATGGAGGTGCGACATGCAAACTACTCCCTCCGTCTCGCTGTTTTCGTCCAATTTTGTTTTGGCTCTTGGACCAAGAAGAATGGATTACGGGAGAGAAATGACTAAGATACCCTTGCCTTTAAAAAGTGATAGTAAGACGCTAATAGCTATACGGAATCCCTAGTTCCTTTTGAATGCTTCAAGATCTTTCCTTTGTTTTTTAAACAAGAAATTTCCTTTCTTACAGTTATTCTTCATGTTTTAAATCAAGAATAAAATTCAGTCTTTTTTAGAGTTCGACACAAAATGGGGGAAAAAAGTTACTCATAATTTGTAATGCTTTAAAGAGTACTCAATTCATAAGAAAATTGAGGAATTTACCTAAATAGCACTATAACATAATGACTTTCTCTATATAGCATCATATGTTTTTATTTCTCAATGTAGCACTTTTAATCATTATCCATTAGTTATTATTCAAGTAAATATTCACCATCACTCGACATTATTCCTCCTCCTAGACATTATTAAGTACTATTTAGGGAATAAAAAAGTTTATGTCTTACATTGGGAAATGGCTTATGCTTTAGTGCTATTTAGTGCAAATATTTCTAAGGAATTTTGACAAAAACATAGATCCACCGCCATTGGAAGAGCATCCAACTCTTCAGACTCAGGCACGCAGTGGATTCCGGTATCATCACCGGAAGAGTCAGGGATTGTAGAGAATTAGAGATCTGTCCTCAAACTCAACAACAAATTAGATTTCGTCATCATTGTCTTCATCAGTGTCCGGAAGCGGGTAGAGGTCTATCCTCATATTCAGACACGACTTGGACTTCAGGGCCGGTCCCGATGATTCATCAGTCTGGGCCGAAACGGAAAAAAAGCCGTAAAAGTTTTATCCTTAATGGTCTAACAAATTAACATATGTAAACTAATTACATCTAAATTATAATTAACGCAAAAAGAAAAAAATAAATGACAAAATTATAGTATTATAATTACATACCGTAAAAGCTAGCCGAGGATTTGAATGAAATATATATTATTTTTAAAGATATTTTTGCGCTTCATCCATGTATGTACATGATTTAATGACTAGTATAACACATTTGGTATCACTAAGAAACCCTCTGTGACGAAACATTGCAACTACGCGAGTGAAAGCGTCTTAACTCATTGAAATTGCAGAACATTTTATATGCAATCTTAATTCATTTAGTAAACCTTGATCCTATGTAGCACTGAAACGGAAACGGGGACGGAGACGAAACGAAACGGACACGCCGAAACGGCTATTTTGAAAAAATGAAGAGACGAAACGCCGGGGAAACGCCAAATTCATATATAAAAATTATATATATAAATAAAATTATGTAAACAAATTCACAATACATAACATATTTTAGTCATTACAAAACATATTAAAGTATAAGTTCACAAGACATATCATAATTTAGTCATTACAAAAGACATATCATAATTTAGTCATTACAAAACATATTAAAGTATAAGTTCGAAGGAGATAGCATAATTTAGTCATTACAAAACATATTAAAGCATAAATAAGTTCAAAATGCATAACATAAAATCCAGAAGTCATTGACCAGCAGCGTAAGCTTCTCCCTTTGTCGGCGAGAAGCTTATTTGGAGAGAACACTTCACCTGATGTCGCGCCCTTTGTCGGCGAGTAGTTGGCCAACCAGCTGCGTAAAGCTTCTTCGAGCGCCGCTGTCTATTGTCGATGAATATGATAGCCGCGTAACATAGAGGAGCGATGAAGATTTAGGGCCAGATAATACTTTTTAAAATTTGAGCCAGTTCCAAAACTTTTAAAATTTATAAAAAGAACCCCATTTTTTTAAAAGAGGTGTCCCTGCCATTTCCCAAAAGAGACACGCATGTCCCAGCGGTTTCCTTGGCGTTTTTTTCTCTTTTTCAAAAATTAAAATTACAGAAATGCCACGTGGAGTTTCCGAGACGTCTCCAGGCGTGTCCGTGGCGTGTCGGCGTGTCCAAGGTGTCCGAAACGGGTACGGCAGCCTATATGGAGTTTCCGTGCAACATAGCCTTGATCCCTATTATATCATCATGAATGGATCATTGGCCTTCCAATATTCATATCAAATCGTCAATTTTTCAGTTTTTATTTTTTTTTTAATTTTCAGTTTTTTATATACAAATATATAATAAATTTAAATCAATTCATCCAAATCAAATAAATAACATATAGAACCATTAATTCACTCTATTTCATAGAAATTAACAAGAATTTCAAATTAAAAATTAATAATTAACCCTAGATTTTAAATCTAAAGAATAAAACAATGAAAAAAATTAAGAAATAATTATGGAAATACGGAATACCTGGAGGCTGGAGCTTGAGGGTCGGCGTCCGGCGGTGCGTCTGGCGGCGGCGGCGGTGTATCCGAGTTCTGTCAGCTCCGTACTTCCGTCGTCCCTGCCTTCCAGTTCTTTCGTGCGTCTCTCACTCTCTCCCGTAACTAAAGGTATAAGAGAGAAGATGGATTGGGCCTGGGCTTCTTATACGTACACATGTATAATATTTAAAAAAATTGGGCCCCTTAATTTTTTGGGCACGGCCTGGACGGGCTGTTTGTCCTCCTATTGGGCCGGCCCTGTTGGACTTCATCATTGCCGTGAGCAGACGCATGCTTGGAGTGCAACTGGTCGGTTGTAGGGACCGTCACTTCCACTCCGGCCAGATCAAATCTGAAGTTCTGGAAGAAGAGAAATCAAAATTTGTATATCCATTAGAATCTACAGCCTCAAATGGAAGGATATGAGAGAAATAAGATGGTAGAACCATAGATAGAGGGAAGATAACGAGTAAAAGGCAACATAGAGAGATAGTAAAAGGAGGTGGGTGGATAGGATGAATGGAGGGTAAAATGGACAATTAAAACACTTTAATCCTACCAAATATAGAAAGTGGATGAATAACTTGGACGGCTCAAAAAGGAAACCGGACGAAAACACTGGGACAGAGGGAGTGCAGAATTGAGAGTCTAAGAGACATGAGAGATGAGATTGAAAAAGACCTGAGAGGGACCTGAGAGACGTGAGATTGTCATGAGAGAAAACATTAGGTTTGGGTTTGAATACTTTTCTTCGGTTCAGATTTGGACACTTTAAGGTCAAGTCTAATCAACTAAGGTCGTATTTAAGTTGAATTGACATAAGATATCAAACTTGCTAGAACCAAAAGATAGATCATATGCCTGAAATAGGACTTCTATGTTTTTACCCTCTGGTTGTTTTTGGAGAAACCATTATCATGATCTTACTTCAGTTCACTTAGTTTCATGTCCTTGGTATATTAGTCCTACGATTTTTCGTTTTAAAATAAATGTTTTTTTAAAATTTTAACTTTGGTAAATTTCATGTAGCGATGTACAGAGGTTACAATTTAGAATTTATTTTAAGAATCTACTCAACATGTACTATATTCTAGGGTTCTCCATAGAATTCAATTACGGAGTATAATATTCACAAATTTTGTTATAGATTCTTGGTTGAAGCTCCTGGTTATTTTTGTTTGGTGTGATTATTTAGCATTCATATACTTTCCAAGGAATGTATACTGGGATTTGATCTTTTTTCGATTCATTTGTAATTAAAACATTAATTTCAGTCTTTTTTGGTACTTAGCATATTACATCGGTTTGCTTTGATTTTTTTAAAGCTAGGTTTTTAATTCATACCCTAACGATATAAAACAACTGAAACAAGTCCAATTAATATCATATCCTAATCTGTGCCTCAATTAAAAAACCTAATGAGCATATGAAATGCTTGAAAGTCTTGACAAATTGTTTTGATCTTTCTTCAATTGGTATTACACTCGGGATTTCTGTTCAGTTTAATATCTGCTCAAATGTGTCTTGTGTTTATTACTTGAGCTGAGAATTGAATGCTGAATTCTACTTAGAGTGATATTTCTCCATATATGTTGGGACGGAGGCTCAAGTATTTCATGAAAAAAACGAAAAAGAACATGAAAAACGAAAGGTTAAACATGAAAAAAGAACATGAAAAAAAAACGCTAAAAACGAAAAACATGAAAAAGAACACGAAAAAAATTTAAACGGAAAAAAAACGAAAAAGAACATGAAAAAAACAGCAGATTTCAATAATTGACAAAAAAAACAGGAAAATAAAACCGTACCTGAAATCCGCCGGAGTAGAGAATGAAGTCGCCTGTGTTGGAGTTGCGGCGCTGCGGATGGGAGACCTGCGGCTGGAGAGCTGCGGCAGGAAGAAGATGGGAGATCAGACACCTGCCACTGCGGCTGGAGTGCTGGACCGTAGAAGAAAGAGGAAAAATAACCCTACCTCCAAGGGGTGGACACGACACGGTTCCGGAACCGCCGGTTCCGGTACCGCCACCCCTTGGTACCGGTACCGGTACCGGATCGGCCGGTACCGGTTCCGGTACCGTTCCGGCCACCCATAATTTCTTTTTTTTTTGCTTTTTTATTAAATTTTTAAAGTGTAAAATTGTAAATGTGTAATTGTTAAAAGAAAGGATGAAATAAATAACTCTAAAAATGAAATTGATAAAGGAAAGAATGAAATAAAAAAATAAAAAAATAAAAAAAATTAATTACGGTACCGGAACCGGTACCGCCGGAACCGGAACCGGAACCGGTACCGCCGGTGCCGGTACCGAAAAATGGGCACCGGAACCGGTACCGGAGTGGGCGGTACCGGTACCGGTTCCCGGAACCGGTGGACCGTCCCGGCCGACGGTAACGGTACCGGAACCGGCGGTACCGTTTCTGGTCACGGTACCGTACCGGTACCGTGTCCACCCCTACCTCCACCTCCCTCCATCCAAACACACGTTGTATACCAAAAAATATCAGTGTAATTTTTTTGTTAACTAAATTTGATGCCAATGTGAATCATTAAAATGTGTACATTTCTTTGGGGTACAATTTGAAATACAAGATGTACCCCTAGCATGGTTATTTTAATAAATGCACAAAGATAACATAAAAAACAAAACACTTTATATATTAATATATATAAAAACAAATTCAACCATGCTAGAGTACACCAAAAGTGTACCCCAAGTTATACCCAAAGAAATGCAGTGACATTTTAACAATTCACACTAGCAAAAAATATTTGTTCAATTAAAAAAATTTGCACTAACACTTTTTGTCAATGTAATTCTTCACACTAACATCACACTAGTACAAAATGTAGGTGCATGCCTTTGGGGTATAAAATGGGGTACAAGTTTTGGTATACAAATAGCTTAATCCAAACAAAATACAAAATATTGAAATAAAAATTACAAACATGCTCCCTCCATCTCAGAGTATTTGTTCAGTTTGATTTTTTCGTGTCAAACTGGACAAACTTTAATCATCAATTACTCTCAATTTGTACTGCATAATAATACTCTCTCTGTCCCCAATTTAATTATAAATTGGGGTTTACGAAGAAGATTATCGCACTTTTTGAAATTATTTTATTTACAAATCGGTATATCAATAAGAAATACAAATTATATATTAAAAAACTACGTCAAAAGTTCTAAAAAACAAGAGGTGACAAGAATATTTTATTTTATCAAATACTTGATGAAATCGCGTAAATAAACAAAAATTATCGAGTGGAGAGAAAAAAAATTGTAAATAAATGGGGACAGAAGGCGTATAATGGAATAAATTTTTGAAAGTTCTAACCAAGTTAAATACATTAATTTTTATATATTATTAAAATTTATGCTAATATATATTATAATTTTTATTTAATTAATACTCAAAGTTTGTCCAGTTTGACTCTAAAAAGTCACACTGGACGAATACCTCAGGACGGAGGTAGTAATCATTACACAAAAATGGCATGGGACTAAAATAAGTCCCGGTCTTGAGGATTCATCAGCCTAGGCCGAAACAGAAAAAAGGCCCTAAAAGTTTTATAATTAATGCAATATTATTACAAGAAAAAAATAAATGGCAAAATTGTAGTATTATGCTAAGTAAAATCAAGAACAAAAACTGAAAAAAACAAGCAAATAAATATATCATAAATTAATATCAATTCGTCAATTTTTCTTTTTTAATTGTTTTTTCTTTTTTCGTTTTAAATTTTTTATAAATCATAAATTCGTATCAATTTATCAGTTTTTTTTTCGGTTTTCAGTTTTTTTTAATATAAATATATAATTATCATAAATAACAAATTCAAATCAATTCATCCAAATCAAATAAATAACATATAAAACCATTCATTCATTCTATTTCAAAGAATGAAATTAGAAAAGATTTCAAATTAAAAACTAATAATTAACCCTAGATTTTAAATGTAAAAAAGGAAACAATGAAAGAAAATTAAGATTTAAGAAATAAAAATTACAAAATTGGAAAGGGAAGGCTATGAATAATTACCTAGAGGGTGGAGGCGTGCAGGTCGGCGACTCGGCGTCGGCGTCCGGCGGTGGAGGCGGCGACTCGGCTCGGCGTCCGGTCCTTTCTTGACGTTTCTGGCGTCTTCGATCGGCACTTCTTTTCTTCCGTTTCTTTTTTTTTTGGGGTCTACAGAATACACAGGGATGGGTCATAGGTGGACTGGGCCTGGGCTTTTATATATATATATATATATATATATATATATATATATATATATATATATATATATATATATATATATATATATATAGAATACTTTAAAAAAAATTTGTGCCTCTAACATATTTGGGCCCGGCCCAGACGAACACCTTATCCCCCTATTGGGCCGGCCCTTAAGGACATTAATTTTACATTATAAATTACTGAGTTCACATAGATTATATTTTTTCTCTACTTTTGTAATAAAAGAATGATTTTAGATAAGACAGAGATACTAAACTTTTTTTCCAAAAAAATAATTGAATAACTATATTATTTTTAAAAAATACCTCAAATAAAGGTTAGAGACAACAATTACGAGTTACAAAAAATATTTTATGTACATTTATGATGAGTTACATAATTTTTAAACAAAGAAAATAGAGTAGACAACTAAAAACTTTGTAATTGACTCTTAAGCTTGAGGGTTGATTTTGACAATAATAAACAAAAAAGAATAGGGAAAAGGTACAAAGTCACTAGAGTGTAACGATTCGTTTCAAATGAGTTGAACGTAGTTAAAAAAATTCATTTAAAAAGGTACGACCAAAGGTAGTTCCTCGAAGAGATTTGTTTCCATATGTGAAACTCATTGTAAGGATTCGTTGAACTATGTTCAACTCATTCGAAGAGGTACGACCAAATCCACTTGTCAATGAGGTACGACCAAATCCACTTGTCAAAGGGAATGTGGTACCGAATGATTGTTGTGTGTCACCATGTAATTCCACTTGTCAATGAGTAAGGTAAAGCCACCGTGTTTGCTTTCTCCTAACCGGGTCTGCGCTCACCTCTCCTACGTAAATGCTTTAGACCCAGTTTTTCCTTTCCACGGCTGAGTCTACACCCTCCGGTCCACCAAAAATCATCTCAATGTGTTCTTTATCTGGGGCCGGCCTTCGCTCTTTGTTCTGGTCATTTCCTCTCCAATTTCCGTCCATGTCCTTTTTATGTAATCTTTTTGAGCTTTCGGCTTCACCCATTAGTGGTTCTTCTCCTGGGCCTTCTACAGGTATTCCTTACCCAACTCTCCACTCTCAATCATTTTCCGGACAACTCCTTTGACACTTTGCATTCTGAAGTGTTGTGAGAGTCAGACTTATTTTACGAACAATACTTGTCTGACCATTGGCATCCCGCGTTACCGGCAGGAAAGACCGGTGCCTTCCGGACTTCATGACATTCTTCCGACTTTACCACGTGTATGACCAGGTCAAAGTAGTGTTTGGGCTTGCTAAGCCCGAGAGCGTCTTCCTTCTTCACCTGCACCGGTTTGGGTTTATGACCGTGCTCAGCCTCCTTCTTTGCCCGGTCCTGGGTTTCAACTTCGGCGAATTCCAAGCCGTGTGATAGGCCTCTTTGTATGTGGCAGGGGGTCTCCGGCAGAACTCTTTGTATAGTTCCCCGACACGAAGGCCATTCAGCAAAAGAGACAAGATCGTCTTGTAATCCATTTCCTCGATCTTGTCCACCTCATCCTTCCGCTGGGTAAGAAACTGAGTGAGGTTCTCAGATTCCCTCTACCCGGCTATACTAAGGTACGTGAACTTCTTCCTCTTTGTACAGTTCCCCTGGAACTTGCCCTTAAATTTCAAGGCCAGTTCGGCAAACGAGTCAATGCTTCCCGGGCAAAGCTTTTTATTGAACAACTTTGTGGCCCGGCCTTGCAGGGTTTGGAAGAACATAAGGCATTTCTCCTCATTGGTGCACCTCATCATGGTCACACTCTAGTTGAAGGAATCCAAGTGAATCTCGAGATCCTCCTTTCGTGTAAACCTTGGTGCTTCCACATTTACCTTTCGTGGAAATGGTGTCAGGTGGACCCTGGTAGTGAACAAAGAATCTGCAAGGGGTTTCTCCTTGTCATTCTTCTCCTCCACTCTTCTTTCCATCCTTTCCAGCTTCGCCTCCATTCATTAGACTCGATCTCTCGGGTTTGCCAACCTACTCCTCACGGGCTCGCGTGGTTGGCTTTCAGCTTCTTCTTTTCGGTGCGAAACCTGTGATTTTGCAGGCTCTAAACGGTTTAACTGGGCGCGTTGGGTACGAGCAGGCTCAGCCTTCCTCCCTTCGCCTAACCAGGCAAATGCAATGACATGTGCCACGCTTTTCCCCAATCTCAGCTTTGTTGATTTGCGCTGGCATTCCTCTCTCTCCCCCAACCTTTTGAAAGCGGAGTAACGGTCTCTTGGTCTTGCCCTTCTTCTTCTTGTGGGCTCTAGGGATGTCCCACTCTCCGTCATCGCTAGGGGTGGGCACGGATTGGGACGGTCCGGGTTTTATGTTGTCCCACGTCTTGTCCCGTTATATATAAACAGTCCAGAACAGTTTGGATTACAATCTTATCTTGGTTTGTCCCATAAAATTCAGGATCGGAATAAACCGGGACAGATTTAGGTCGTCCTACTTTGTCCTAATCGCAAATAAAAGAAAGGGGAGATGGTGACATTTCATTAAAAAAATAAACACATAGACATCCAACAAAAAACAATGAATGCAACAGGTTCAAATAAATTTCAAGCTTATGAAGTTAATTTAATTAAATAACTAATTAATTAAAGAATAAGTGTATTTGGATTTTGGACTAGAATTAGTTTTATATATTAGTAGAGTAGATGAAACGGGACAAACAAGACAGGTCAGGTATAAATTTAAGCTGTCCCGCTCATGCCCCATTAGATATTGGGACGAAACGGGTTCGGGATAGAAAAATGTGTCCCAATATTTGGGTACAATTACAAAATGGATCCGGGATTTTTCGAAACAGTCCAACAGGAACAGATTTCACGCCCACCCCTAGTCATCGCTCTCAATCAAGATGCAATGACCGTTAGGGGTGCTCTGCGGATGGCGGGCACTCTGGAAGGGACCCAGCGACGTTCGGTGCACCGGTCAAATTGACAGGTGCCACAGCGCTTACCACATGTGGCTGAAAAGGTGATGGCTGGGGAATCGGTGTCTTAAAGGGAGACACTACCATCGGGGTTTGCAGGGATAATATTTCAGCGCCTGGTGGGGCGAAAGGAAACATTCCTGGGAGGAATGGCATTCCTTCATTTTGTTGACACATGGCCATGACCTGGCCAAAGCCTTGGATCGCGTGCAAGTTGGCTGGGTCATTCAGAAACTGGGTCATGCTTTAGGGAAACGTGACCCTTGGCCCGACAGATGGAACGAGGATCGCAAATGGAGCATGCATGGTCAGTGTTGAGATGGGGATCAAACCCGTCGGCATCACAGAAGCAGAGTGAGCCGGTGGGGAAGTAACCATTCACATGGTTATTCCTTCAGTGGTAGCTTGCACCGGGGTAGAGGTGGTGTTGTTCAACTGGCTTGAAGACATTTTCAGAGTGGTGTTTCGTGAGTATGTTTATGTTTGGAAGAAAAAGAAACCTTAACGATCCCACGGTTGGCGCTGAAAATGATGGTGTAAATTACCTAATCGGGTAAATAGTACTAAACTGGGTCTAGGATTGCTTACTAGATTCAAGACAGTGAAAAGGTAAAAACACGCAAAATAACTGGGAGGACTGTATGTGGAAACACTTGTAACCCAATTGTTAATTGAATATAGTAGAGGGCACGAGAGCTTTTACATAGGGGTTTTAGTGAGAAGAAATCAGATCCTTTCCTTTGAGGGTTACACAGGTATTTATAGTAATCAATGGGGGACAAGGCGCCACACACCCACATAAGGCCACGTTCGTGGGTGGTGCAAAGTGATCGCTTCTGTCTTTTAATGGCTTGTTCCATTCCTTTATTTCCCTGTCTTTTAGCTAGGAAGGTGACTTCTTTGTTGCGTAGCGTGTTGAACTGATTATGTGAATATCCTCAATGATCTTTTGTTGAATTTGGCCGCTACAGTCCAACCTCCCTTGGATTCTTTCATGCCGACACTTCCGAATCACAAAAATCATACCGGTTAGGGTTACAGGAGATGGATTTACGAGGATTGGGGATGATCAAAGAAGTCATGTAGTTTGACCGGTAAAGTACTCGGAGTGTACCGGTCAAACCTCTGTCGTCGACCAATATAAACTTCGGTCGTTGAGGCTTCCCATTCCAAAAATTCATCACTTTGACCGGTGGTCATTTGTGGTTCCCCTTTGACCGGTATTGGGTGGAATACACCCATCACATACCATAGTAATGTCAAACCATTCCATAATACTTTGACGCTTTGAAAATATTTTTATTCATTATAAACAATCGACATAATTAAAAAAAATTGGTGCATCAATATTTTTATGCACTCTTATTCAACAAGGGTATTGTTTATTTACAACTTTTTGACAAAATATAATTATAGTTTGATTTTCAACCAATAAAATAATAATTTGAGTTGTACTTTAAGGTAACAAAGTAGTACAAAAAGATAAGTTTAACTATGCTAAAGTCACACCAAATAAATATGATATAAACGTACTAAAAAATAATAAATGAAAATATATAATTAATTTATAATTTTAATATTTTAGTCGACTTCATTCTGCTTCTTCTTCTTCTCCATGTCTTCTTCTTTTGCCAACTTCTTCTTCCATCTCTCCACGACTTCTTTTTCTCATTCGACCTCAACCCAAAGTGCATCCGTACGGCTTCTTCTTCCTCTATTTTCTCCTTCGACGGTAATTTGGTGAGTGGTCGCGATTCAGACTACAGAGTATTTCAATTTTAATTATGAAGCATTATTAGGGTTCTTCTTCCTCTATCTTCTCCTTCGATGGAGTATATGAATTTGATTTGCAGAGTATGAAGCATTAGGGGTTTAGGGTTCTTTTTCCATTATTCATTTTCCAAATATTGTTCTCCCAAAATGGACCAAACAGAAATGAACAATTTTCAACTTTCTTCCTAACACCAAAAAGAGAAAATAATTTCATCATTTTCGAGAGGTCTTTTTCTAGGTTTCCAAACAGACCCTTTCACCGCAGTTCACTGACTTCACACTATGTTTCTTGTCTTATTTCACCTCAACATTAACACATTGAATGAGTAATACATGCAGGTAGAGCCAATATTATCCGTAACAATATTTTGACATATTTCGTCAAGTACAATCTATTTTCTCAAAACCTAGGTTACTCCGTAATTAATTAAGTATAACTCTAGCCTAGGTGAATATCAATCCAAATAGGGCACTCGAGTATGAAAAGGGGCGGATTTGACAGAGTTACAAATTGGGGATATCTGTTATTAATTGAGATATGAGTCAGATGAACTCAGATTCTTGGGGAAATGAAATTGTATTCTCTGCTCCGTATGAAAGTGACGATTACAGCACTTATATACAAAAGTGTAAAACGGAAAGAAAATAAACGGAGGCCGAGAAAAACGCAGTAAGCACAGGGGCCATTAACTGTCAAAACGGAATTAATTTTGGGTTCCGTTATCTTCAATACCCCCCTCCAAGCTTGGTAGGGAGAGGTCACGAAGCATGCCAAGCTTGTGCAGAAGATTCCAATGCTGGGAAGAAGGGAGAATTTTGGTGAGGACATCTGCTATTTGAGCTGTAGTGGTTAGTTGAAGAAGACCTTCAACGACTTTGTCGCGTGTGAAATGACAATCTAGTTTGATGTGTTTTGTTCTCTCATGAAAAACAGGATTGCGTGCAATATGTAAAGCACTTTGGTTGTCACAATGAAGAGAGACAGGCTTTAAGTCTGTGAGACCAAGTTCCTCGAGAAGGCGAACTAACCAAACAGTTTCTGCGGAAGCATGTGCCATTGCTCTGTATTCAGACTCTGCTGAAGAGCGAGAAACAGTGCTTTGTTTCTTACTTTTCCAACTAATGGGAGATTTACCCAACATCAATATATAGCCAGTGACTGATTTGCGAGAGATGGGGCAAGATGCCCAGTCTGAATCTGAAAAAGCATGCAAAGATACTTGTGAAGCAGCAGACATGAGGATTCCTTGTCCAAGAGTACCATTAAGATACTTGAAAACATGTTCTAATGCCTTAAGATGTGAGGAGTGAGGGGATTGCATGAATTGACCAACTAACTGAGCCGTGAAAGCAAGGTCTGGCCTTGTATGGGTAAGGAAATTTAGTTTTCCTACCATCATTCTGTAATATGTAGCATCTGGAAGTAAATCACCATCAGTTGGAAGTATTTTGCAGTGAAGAGGTAGGGGTGTTGCAGCAGTAGTGGTTATTGGGACGTGAGCCAGTTGTAAAAGTTCTTTGGTGAACTTCTTTTGGGTGAGAGTAATACCATCTGGGACATGGGTAACCTCGAAACCCAAGAAGTAATTGAGAAGGCCCAAGTCTTTGATTCCAAAAAGTCCATGAAGACTTGTTTTGAGCTGAGTGATCTCTCTAGGATTGGAACCTGTAACCAAAAGAGGGAATAGTCATTCTTAGACTGAGTATAGCCTAGAAGGTGTAAGGTATCAGTCAATTTGGTGAACCATTCTCTAGAAGCCTGTTTTAAGCCATACAGTGATTTGTGTAATCTGCATACTTTGTTATCAGGATTGTCCAATCCTTGGGGCATCTTCATGTAAACTTCTTCCCGGAGGTCTCCATGCAGAAATGCGTTATCTACATCCAATTGATAGATGTTCCATTTTTTGTGTGCAGCCAAAGCAATGATGGCTCTGATGGTAGGCATTTTGACAACAGGAGAGGTCTCCTCATAATCAATACCTTCTTTTTGAGTATCTCCACGAATAACCAGCCGGGCTTTGTATCTCTCTAAGGTGCCATCTGCTTTGAGTTTGACCTTATAAACCCATTTTGAAGGAATAGCTTTCTTTCCAATGGGGAGCGTAACCTCTGTTCAAGTGTTGTTGAGTTTTAAAGCAGAAAGTTCTCTTTGCATGGCCTCAATCCAGCATGGTTGTGAAGCTGCCTCCTTGTATGTTTTGGGTTCCTGGTGTTGCTCTATGTGAGTGATGTGAGCTTGGGAGGTGGCTGGTAAAGTATCATATTGGACCAAGTTACACCAGTGAGTGGTTGTAGAAGACAAGCATTGGCAATCTTCTAGATAAGATGGAGTTTTTGAGGGTCTGGAAGATCTGCGAAGTGGTATGGATGAAGTGGAGGGTTGTAGTTGTCGTGGTATGGATGAAGTGGAGGGTGGTGTTGATGATTGTGGTTGATCTAGAGGACATGTATTTGTATCATCATGAAAAATGGAACAATCCATCAATGTAGGTAATGGGACAGAAGAAAATTGATCAAAGAGATGTTTGGAATGAAAAGGAAATATGTTTTCCTGAAAAATGACATCTCTAGAGTGTAGCACTTTGCGTGACTCAAGATCAAGTACAATATATGCCTTTTTGCCATAAGAGTAACCTAGAAAAACACCATTGTGAGCTCTAGGTTGGAATTTGGTTCTATTTCTCTTCAAAGTGGCAATGAAGCATAGGCAGCCAAAAACCTTTAAATGATCATAAGAAGGCAAATGATTATGTAAGAGTTCATATGGGGTGTGGTGTTGTAAAACAACAGAGGGTAGTCCGTTGAGTAAGTAAGTGGCAGTCAAAATGCACTCACCCCAATATTGTAAACGTAAATTGGCTTGGAGTTGGAGAGACCGTGCAATTTCCAGGAGGGATTTGTGCTTCCTTTCTACTCTGCCATTCTGTTGAGGGGTGTCAACACATGAAGTTTGATGAAGAATCCCTTTTGAATTATAGAACTGAATGGCCTCTTTCTCAGAAAATTCTGCACCATTATCTGATCTTATGCTCTTAACAGTGGTCCCAAATTGTTTCTCAACACATGTTATGAATGATTTCAAAATAGGGAGAGCATGCATTACTTTAATGAGAAAGAAGATGAACCCATGTGGCTCTAGAGTAATCATCAACTATGGTAAGAAAGAATCTAAAACCATTATATGTAGGAGTAGAATAAGCACCCCAAATATCAACATGTATTAATTGGAAAATCTGAGTACTCTGGGATTGACTTGTAGGGAAAGGCAATCTATGGAATTTGGCCTTTGGGCAAACATTACAGGTAGAGAGTTGTCTACTACTACATTTGTCTCCAGAAATCACATGTTTTATGGAATGTAGAGGAGTATGCCAAACATCAACAGAAACAGAACATGCTGTACTATTTAAAAAACTTTGTGTTTTCACAGATGTGTCATCCAAGTGTTCATCTGTAGGAGATCTCTGCAGCAAGTATAAACCATCTATTGCTTTACCAAGGTCCTGTAGCTTGTTCGTCAAAGGGTCCTGAATGTAACAATTTGTAGAAGTCAAGACAATCTGTGTGGACATTTGTTGAGCCAACTTGCTGGCTGACAAGAGATTGAAATGAAATTGTGGCACATGCAACACATTATGAAGGGTAATAGTTGCAGAAAGTTTAACTGACACGAACTTTGGATCCATCAGGGATAGTGGTATTACACTTTACTAGAGGTGTAGTGTAAGCATCAAATAATGCTAGGTGAGGGCAAATGTGATCTGTGGCCCCACTATCGATTATCCAGGTATTGTGATTATATGAAGACAAGAGGCAAACACATTTACCTGCAAAGCATAGCAGAGTAATCTGAAGAAGTAGCTTCTGGATTGGGGTTGTTTGACCTCTTTAAAAGTTCCACCAATTGATGATACATGTCAGATGAGAGAATAGGAGGTGTGGGGTCATCAACATTGGTCATATGTGCTTGAGGAGGGAACTTTCTATTCCTTTGAATCCTCAACTCAGGATGAAGCTTAAAGCACCTTTCATTAGAATGACCAGCCATCTTACAATGAGTACAGTAGTACGAATTCTTGTTGGGACCAGTGTTTTTGAGTGAAGAAGAAGGTCGGGAAGGTCCATAATGTGCAGGAGCACCAGAAGTTTTAGCATGTTGAATTGCCATGGCAGAAGCTTCAGGATTTAGAATGGTAGAATGAGAAATTTCTCTTTGTTTCTCTTCTTGCAGAATCAGATTGTAAGCATCATTTGGACTAGGGAGGGGTCTGATCATTAGAATTTTTCCCCTGGTAACTTTGTAATCAGGATTGAGACCCATCAAAAATTGCATAAGCCTTTGATTTTGTATATAAATTGTCATAGCTTGACTAGATTCACAGGTACAGGATGGGATCTTCGTAATTGCAGTAAGTGCATCCCATAGAGACTTCATTTTTCCAAAATAAACCGCAACAGATTGACTTCCTTGGGAAAGATTACTCAACTCTTGCTGTAATTGGAAGATCTTGGGTCCATTGGCTTGGCCATATCATTGTTCAAGTTCTTCCCAAATTTCTTGAGCAGTGGTACAATATATGACACTTTCACAAATATCATTTTCAATTGAATGAAGGAGCCAAGAAATTACTAGATTGTTGCAGCGAGCCCAATATGGTGATAGAGGTGAATCATCTGCAGGTTTAGGGAACCTCCCAAGGACGATGTCAAGCTTGTTCCTCACAGAGATAGAAACTTCAGAACAGCGTTTCCAATGGCTGTAATTATCGCCATTCAAGGGTTTTGTGGCGAGCTTGTAATTGGAAGGATCTGATGGATGTATGTAAAGCACGTGATTACAATCAACCAGTTGTGTTGCCGGAGTTGCGCCGGACATCTTCGGAAGGAAGAAAAAAAATGCAGAATCTGAAGAAATTGAAGATACCAATGAAACTATCCTCCGTTGAGAAGCTAACGTTTAACAATGAAAAGCTGTATGCTAGTAAATTTTACAAAAAAAAAAAAATCTTCGGCATTTATCAAAGCAAAAGCATCTCAAAGAATAAGAGGGGTTTTACATTTTCAATCATGTATTCTGTAGGATTTTGCCGAGTTTGTATCTGGAATAAAAACAAGTCCCCCAAAATGCTATGCCAGAATGCTTTCGCTGTTTATTACAACACTGCAGCACCATTGACCAGAAGGCTCGTGTCAACGCTTGCTTCTCGCAATCTGTTCATTGGAGGTCTCTGTTTTTCCTTTATGTGTTGCGTCACTTGCGTGTGAGGTCTTCTACAATATGTCTCAATAGGTGGTTGCAGTATATGGATTAACCATTAATCAAGACAAATCAAGACAATTAGTTTAAAGTACTGATCCCTCTGTCTTCCAAGAAAAAATCTTGTTCCAAAAGTTATTTTGTCTAAAAACAAGTCATATTTCATAAAATGAAGTTGGTTTTGATGTAATTTTTTTAAAGAAAAAAGCTTACAAACAAGTTCAATGTGATAAGTTTATTAAACAAATAATACTCCACAATAATAATATGATTCTGGTTTGCAGATTTGTCTTTCCAATAACTTTAACACCTCCCTGATTTGAGTTGTATGCCTTAACTTAAATTCTATTTTTTTCCACATATTTCAGGCCTTTCATATGATACCAATGAAACTATTCTGAAGGACGCTTTTATGAAGCACGGAGAATTGATTGAAGGTAATATTAGTACTCCCATATTATCTCATAATTTGGCTTTGTAATGTTTGCATGGTTGCTAAGAAAGTAGAGACTGTGGATGATATTTGTGTTTAGATAAGAGAAGAAATAACATCATTCACATAATGGTATCTTCAAAAAGAAAGATTAAATTTTGGGACCGATGGAAAAGGTAAGAACAAATATAAAAAGAGAGAGACGAGGGCGTGCTTCTTTTGAAATGTTAATATACTTCTTGTTTTAGTGAAGGTAATATGTGACCATAAAAGTGGGAAATCCAAGGGCTACGGTTTTGTGAAGTATGAGTCTGAAACTGCAGCAAGTGAGGCTTTAAAAGAAATGAATGGTCAGGTACTTTCTAAGAGGAGCTTTTCTATATAACTTACTAGTATTTCATACTCTCGTGTGAATCAACTAGGTTGTTCCTAGCTTTACTGCTTAATTTACTAGTACTTCATACTCCATCCGACCTGCTGGGCATAAAAAGTTTGGCAAACTTTAGCGGGACTGAGGGAATATTTGATAGATTTAATATTATAATATGCTTCGGTGTAGTTATTGGATGGAAGAAGCGTGCGTGTTGATTATGCCCACAAAGGATGATTTTCACTCATGCCACCGCAAGGCTATAGTAGAGCGGAGCATTGCCCTTTTGTTACGGTCATTTCTTTCTTGCATGATATCCGGGGGCGTCCATTGTGGTTTAGTTCAATGTAATACCGTACTATTCAAAATTTACTCCCCGTCTCAATGTAAACAGAGACCTCCAATGTAGTATTCAAAAGGCCTTATTTGTTTAATACTTCGTGTAATATATTTGAAGGATTTTCATCCATCGGAAACACACACACATGTCGTGACTGTATGAAATGAAGAATAACGATAATGAATCGGAGATCAAAATCTTATGCAATGATGTGGTTACATATAGATATCTCTTTCTCTTAGTGTCTTTGTTCAGTATGACTTTTGCTGACGAATTTGATGAATTTTGATCATTGATAAATAAACACTACTCCGTACATTGTAAGTTAATAAAATAGAAAACTTTTTAAATAAATAGAGTACTCTGTATTTTATAAAAATAAATGAACTAAATCATTTTTTTGTACAGAAAAGTAATTTAATTTTCTAAATTGACAAATAAAGCTTGTCTTCCTTAAAAAAAAATACTTTGTCTGCGTAAAATTAATTGGACGAACACACTACTAAGACAGGTAGTTTATCTGGAGAATGCTACATAGAGTTAATTCTAGAACGGGCCTTGCTAATAAGATATTTTTCTAAGTTAATCCTTAATAAGTAATAATTACTAACATAATCCTTTATAATCGAGACGTATTTCCTAAATAGCTCTCTATCAAAAATGCCTATTAAATGACAATTAATTGGAGGATACTTTGTATTTTCGATCATCTAAATTATGAATAAGTCTTCAAAATGATTCTTTCAAATCAAGTATGTAGTTACTAGAGGAATGGATCTACCCCGAGTGGGTTCATGGGCTCTATTTTAGGAAAACATGTACTTAGAAATTATTATTCTAGAAAAATACTTAAATATAAAGGAATATTTCAAAATATACTTTAAGCCTAGATGATAGAAATACTAAAATATATTTTATTTAGCTGATGATATTTACTCCCTCTGTCTCGGAGTATTTGTATACTGTTGACTTTTTTGGTCAAAATTGATAACTTTGACCTCAAATTAAATAAAATGATACTCCGTATTAGATAGTGATATGAATTTTTTTATTAGATTTATAATATCTAATATTTCAAAAATATCATTTTATCTAATTAATATACAATATATATTTTATTTAATTATAAGTCAAAGGTTGAAAACAGTTGACCAAAAAAGTCAAAACTGAACAAATACTCGAAGACGGAAGTATTTATAGACCTAGTTACTAATATACGGCTGTCGTATAATACATCAATATGAACGTACGTGTATAATACATTCGGATTTTATAAAATACGGCTTACTATGCATATTAAACGTTCGGCGTACAGATACATACAGATATGTACAAGTTTTAAATGTTTTTATTTCAAAATAAATCTTATTACATGTTTATATTAACATATAAACATCAAATCTATACATATTTATTGAATGATTGTCATCAATTTATATTAAGGTAAACTAATAAAATGCAAAAATCTTTTAAATGAAATATTTACAATAGAATTTTTCAAATTAGAATCTCTATTTTTTAAAATATTTATTTGGAAAGAATATATACTCCCTTCATTAGGAAAAAATGTTAAAAAATGAAAACTTTATAGTTTGAATTTGTTTAGAAAAAACAACGAAGAGTTGTGAGTCACTCATTCCTTAACAAAAATTATTTTTTACAAAAATTATTTTTTTGAGACAGACAAAAAGGGAAAGAGTGAAGTCTTGTTTAGAACTTGACAAAAAAAAGTGTAAAGGTTTTTGTTGAAAGGAGAGAGTATATATTTTCAAACTGATTAATTTTGCAATTAATATTGAATATTAATTAAATAAAAGCAATTGTATGCTTCTAATGTTAAATATAATAATCCATATTAATATTATGACAATAATTAAGTATTGTATATGTAACTGATATAAAGTATTACTCGTATTTTATTTATATGTTTGTTGGAAAAAATACTCCCTCCATCCACAAATAAACTTTCTGTTGCGCGTTACGATGTTTGACTGAAGTTATTTTTAAATTATTTTATATGAAAAAAGATGTAAAATTTAAAAATAAAAATTACATATTAAAAAAATATATCAAAAGATCTACAAAGTTAGAGGTGACATGACTATATTATTTTATCAAATGGGTGAGGAAAATAGGCTAACAAAGTGAATAAGGTTTGACCCTGTGAATAGTAAACATGAAGTTTATTTGTGGACGGAGATAGTAATAAAATTTATAATAAATTTTTCAATAATATGAATTATACGTAATATACGTATTGTATCAAATATACGTGTATCTTAAAGTATTTTAGAAAAATCCTTCGGATACGTGAGTATAATACGCATATTATACGCACTTAAGTATAGTATGTGTATTATAGGCGTATTAACTAACTAGGGTAATAGATATCTTAGACAAAGAATTATTTAGGAAATAAATCTAATTATAGATAAATTATAAAAGACGTTTTTGAGACATAAAGTGAGTAAAAATTGGATGAGGAAATATCCCCACAGCCCCTCATAGGGGTGGGCAAACGGGTCAAGGAACCGCGAGTCGGAACCAGACTTCCAGGTTCGGGCCAGGTTAGGTGTGGATCCTCTTTTCAAAAATTTAAAACGGTCCGGGTCTGTCCGGGCCGTATAGATTTTAGGATCGGTCCGGTTCCTAATATTAAAAATGATTTGGACCCGTATCGGCCCGTTTATTTTAAACCCCTATATTATTTTTACTTTTTAGTAAATACTAAATACCCTGGGTCACTGGCCGCCTTAGCCTTACCAGTTACGAAGGAGTTAGCCGAGGGCAGTTTTGTTACTTTTGTATGTGGATGTGTGGCCTGCAATTATTCACACCTCAATTCCTCATAATCCACCATCCAATTACCCTTTGAAGGCAATAATATTCTATGATTTCTATTTGTTTTGGAGAATGTTAGTATCATGATAGGTTCGGACTCGTTGACCCGTGGAATCGGCCCGTTTCAAACAAGCCGGGTTAGGTCCGATTTCAATTTTAAAATTTTGAAAACCCGTTCCGGCCTGAACCATTTTTATAAAAACACACCGAGTCTGGTTTATACAAATCTTGGCTTGGACAGGCCCGTGCCCACCCGTAGCCCCTCATATGTGTGCCACTCCGTCTAAGGCCCTGTTCCGTTCAATTTATTTTTTCTGATCTGATATGATATTTTGTAGTTCTGATCTGATCTGATCTGCTTTGATCTAATCTGATTGGATCTGATATGATCTTATCTGATTAGATCTGATCTGGATCTGATCTGGTCTAGTCTGATCTGATCTAATTAATTATGATTTGATTTAAAATTCAAATCAATAATTTATTTGATTTTATAATAACGTTTGAAAATTGTAATGATAATTTATATTATAATATAATTAATATTTTTTATTTTATGATTATTTTTTAATGAAATAAAATTAGTTAATTCATATATTAGAATAATCATTCATATTCTAATGTAGTAATATTTTTTATTTTATGATTATTTTTTTATGAAATAAGAATACTGATTCAATATTTTAATAATTAGTTCATATATAGTTCATATATAAACGTGATTGAATATTTTTTTATGAAATAAGAATACATATTTAATTCATATATACATTAAAAAGTAATTAAATTTAGATAATCAATATAGAGAAGAGATGGTATTTTTATTAAAATATCTCATCCTTACAAAATATCAACGTGTGCTTTGTACTACCAAACCTTTATTATGATTAATATAACACCATAGATATAATAGTTATTTCAGTTACACTAAAATATATTTCGTATATGAATATCAAATGTTAATTTTATTTCAGTCATGATCAAAGTTGATCAACTCGATGTAGTAAAATATCAAAATTTTAGAAACTCAAATTGCATGTAGTAAAAAAAAATTATTTTAAAAGTATAATAATATTGACGTTGTCAGTGTATGTTAAAAATAAATTTTCCGCCGTTTAATAATCAAGGATTACTTTCTTAGTTTTCTATTTAACTTGTTTCTAAAGCTTATTCTTTTTCATTTTTAAGAATAATAGTAATAATAATAATAATAATAATATTGATTGAATCTGATCTAGTCTGATCTGATCTGATTTGATTAGATCTGATCTGATCTGATGTGATTAGATCTGGTCTGATCTGATTTTAATTGAGAAGTAACTCTAATATAGTTCAAGTCTTTCACATGTTGGTTGTTGATTGTTGTGCAATTGATACTACGTTACTTGTAGAATCATGCTTACACCGAAGGATGTTCACTTCAGTGGCGGAGCCAACACCCAGATTCTAGGAGGCACAAAATGGTGTATGGGGCTAGGGTACGAAATTACCAAAGAAAACTAATGCTTCCTCGGTTCAAATTTAGATAACAAATTGATAATAACAAGGTAAAAATTTATATCTTTTATCAAATAATCAATGAAAACATATAAATAAATACGAATTATCAAAATATTGAGTTAAAAAAATTGTACTCTAATATGAGACGGAAGGCGTAACTTTATCTCAAACAAACATTTAAATAATTAGAATGAAGAAAATTATTCAAAAACTACAAATTCACTTTCTTCTCCTCGTTATCTTCCTCCTCTTCCTCCTTCTTCCCTTTCTTTTCTTGCTAGATCTAGTCTTCATCTCCCCCCTCTCTCTTCCCCTCTTCTTTTTCTTCTTTTTGTCATTTTCTTCTGCTAGATCTCGTTTATTTTTTTCAGATCTAAAAAATCTAAAAATCCATTTATGCGGGGTTGCCGGCGATGGTGTCGGCGGCGATGGTGAGCCGACGGTGATGATAGGCTGGGTGCAGTAGTGGGGCTGGTGGTAGTGGGAGTTGGGGCGGCAATGGAGTTGGAGCAATTACAGGCATTCAAGTCAGGGATTGGTGGTGACGGTGGGGGTGCGGCGGGTGGAGGTGACTGTGGTGGTGTGGGTTGGGCCGATGGGGCGATTGGGAGGTGGCGGTGGTTGCGTGGACTTGGGACGAGGGAAGGTAAGGATGAGGGAAGGGCAGTGTTGAGATAACAGGGAAGGGGAAGGGGAAGGGGATAAGGGTATTTTAGACATTTCTTTCCCAAAGTCAACATCCAATAAAAATGATCAAAAGTCAAAATGGGTACTTAAAATCCGGACGGAGGGAGTATTATGGTACCGTGTGAAAGAAAGTATTCCATACCAAATATTTTTTGGTCCAACATTATATATTATAAATGAAATTTTAAAGTTTCGAAATTGAAATGATAGTGTGAAAAAATTCAATCAAATATTAATTGTGTTTCCATTTTTATTTTATGCGTATTTTAAAAAAGGTAATTTCATTATAAGCAACGTAATAATAATATTTAAAAAGGTATGTTCCTTTTACACGATTACCGTGTATAAAAAATTACCGTCTTTGAAAAAACATGAAAGCGTTGCCTTGAACAAAAGAATATATTCTCATACTTTAAAGTATTGAAATTAAAATCACAGTTGTGTTTCTATTTATACTTTATATGCATTTAAATAAAGTGATTTTCTTATACACGGTTTTGGTAAGAAAGAATTATTAATGCACGTAGTAATAAAAAGCTTAAGTTAAAACACGAATGTTAAAATAATGAGTAACACAAAAAATCGCTCAAAAAATAATTGTGTTCCCTTTTTTACTCTATACGTATTTTAAATAAGGTAACTTCATTATAAGCAACATAATAATAATAATAATAATAACAACAACAACAACAATAATCATAATAATAAGGTATGTTCCTTTTTCGCGATTATTACCCTGTCTAAAAAATTACCTTCTTTTAAAAAAATGAAAATGCTTCCTTGAACAAAAAAATTATTCTCTAAGTATCAAAATTAAAGTTATAGTTATGTTTCTTTTTATACTTTATAGGTATTTTAAATAAAGTAATTTCCTTATACACGGTTTGGTAAGAAAGAATCATAAATACAAGTTGATAATTGAAAATTTAAGTTAAAAAAGAATGTTGAAATGGTAAGTAAGACCAAAAATTGAACAAAACTAATTGTGTTTCTATTTTTACTTTATAGGTATTTTATATAAGGTAATTTCATTATAAGCAATGTAATAATTAAAATATTAAAAAGGATATGTTTCTTTTTCACAATTACTGTGTATAAAAAATTACCGTCTTTAAAAAATTGAAAGCGTTGCCTTGAACAAAAAAATTCTCATACCTAAAAATATAAAAGTTAAAATTACGGTGTGTTTCTATTTATACTTTATACGTATTTTAAATAAACTAATTTCCTTATACACGAATTTGGTAAGATAGAATAATAAATTACATGTTAGTAATAAAAAATTTAAGTTGAAACACAAATATTGAAATGGTAAGTAACACCGATCATGTAATTTTGCCAAAAATTTACATTGTAATTTTAAAAATAAAAATTCTGAAAAAGGAAAACTACCGAATAAGCAAAAAACTTTTCATAGTATAAATACTCCTTATGTCCACCATAGATCTTTTCAAACACTATTTACATGGTCAAACTTAACTCACTTTGTTTGATTATAACAAGAAAATAAAAAATTAATCATAATAATTAAATATTAAAAAGTTAATAAATCTTAAAATATAATTTTTAAAAGTAGACAAAAAAACTATAAAAGTAAAACATAACAATAGATCAATTAATATTCAGAATAAGTTAAAAAAATAAATATAAAAAATTAAATAAGTAGTTACATGAATGAGTATAAATGTGAATAAAAAATAAATTAAAATAAAGAAATAACTAAATTTATAAAAATTAAATGAATAAATTTTTTGTTTCCCATTTAATAATTTTTTAGAAATGGAAAACACGGGGATGGGGTGTGTATTTAATCATGAGTCTCGTGGTTTTTTTTTTGTATTTTAAAAATTAGAGGGTATTCAATTTTAAATCCAAGTGTATTCAATTGAGATTTTGGAAAATCTTTCTAAATCTAATGATATTAAAAATTTGATAGATTCTCAATGATAATTATAAAATATGGATTGTCACGGATTTTTAGTTTTGAGTATAAATAAAAACCTTCTTTGCAAATCCAACCAAAACCCCTAAGGCCCCGTTTGGTAAATGGAATTCAAACTATGGAATTGGAATTGAAGACTTTAATTCCAATTCTTGTGTTTGGTAGCACAAAAATTATGTGGATTTGGAATTGGTAGTGCAAAAAATGAATTAGAATTGGTGAATTCAATTCTATGGAATTGAATCCCATGGAATTTTAATTCCAATTCAATTCCAATTCCATCAATTCCGTGTACCAAACGGACCTTAAGATTTTGTAAGATCATGTCCTTTTCTCTTCCGCACGCCATGTTCATACTTCTAATTGCCGCACAATCTAGATCGACTACCTCAGCGAAATATGCCATCGGAGAAATATGGATATATGCAGTTGAAGAGATTCGTTGTGGCGACATGATCAATTCAATCAATGTTTGATTTCTAATTAAATAATCACAATTTGTTCCAGACCCAATTCTGCTGTGTTTGGTATTCAACTTTGCATTTTGCCGCCTAAATGGTCTTAAATCACAAAATGTAAGTGCTCAATATGAATATGTAAGTGTTAAATGTAATAGTGGCGTATAGAAGTCTCTAGAAGGTAATAAATATTTATGAACTATAATATACCGTGTGTAATAAATTAAAGTGTCGTGTAAAAGGTAATTCTGGTAATTAAATTGTTGTGTAATATATTATTTTTTAATAAGGTAATTTCATACCTTAAATTTTTTTAATAAAAAGTATATTAATTATGGTGCTGTGTTATAAAAAGTATAATTAACACGATACCGTTTGATAATTTTTAAAAACATTTTTATAAAAAGTATAAATATCAATTATTATGGTACCATGTGAAAAAAAGTATTTCATACCAAATATTTTTTGGTCCAACATTATATATTATAAATGAAGTTTTAAAGTTTCAAAATTGAAATGATAGTGTGAAAAAAATTCAATCAAAAATTAATTGTGTTTCCATTTTTATTTTATGCGTATTTTAAAAAAGGTAATTTCATTATAAGCAACGTAATAATAATAATATTAAAAGAGATATGTTCCTTTTACACGATTACCGTATATAAAAAATTACCGTCTTTGAAAAAACATGAAAGCGTTGCCTTGAACAAAAAAATGTTCTCATACTTTAAAGTATCGAAATTAAAATCACAAATGTGTTTCTATTTATACTTTATAGGCATTCAAATAAAGTGATTTCCTTATACACGGTTTTGGTAAGAAAAAATTATTAATTCACGTAGTAATTAAAAATTTAAGTTAAAACACGAATGTTAAAATAATGAGTAACACCAAAAATAGATTTGTTCCCTTTTTTACTTTATATGTATTTTAAATAAGGTAATTTTATTATGAGCAACATAATAATAATAATAGTAATAGTAATAATAATAAGGTATGTTCCTTTTTCACGATTACCGTGTCTAAAAAAATTACCGTCTTTACAAAAAATGAAAAATGTCTCCTTGAACAAAAAAATTATTCTCTAAGTACCGAAATTAAAGTTACAGTTGTGTTTCAATTTATACTTTATAGGTATTTTAAATAAAGTAATTTTCTTATACACAGTTTTGGTAAGAAAGAATCATGAATACAAGTTGATAATTAAAAATTTTAGTTAAAAAAGAATGTTGAAATGATAAGTAACACCAAAATAATCTAATTATGCGTAAACTTAAAATAATCTATTGACTTTGTAGAATCAATGAATTCTTGAAAATCTATCAAAATCTTTATTAAAATCTAGATTGAGTACACCCGAAATCACTTTAGGGTGCATGAAAAGGGAGGGCGTTCAGGTTTGATTCTTCTTGCGAACAGCTCTCTTCACTCCCTTCTTGGGGGCAGGTCTGCACCTCATCAGAATTGATGATCCTAGCAAGATCGGCATTGGCCATCTTTGGCCTTGGCAAGACATAACCCTTCTTCGCCAGAGAAGGCTTATCAAAAGACCCATAAATCTCATCCAGTTTCTCGAATGCAGACTTCGTCCAGATTATAAAGCGTCCAAGATGGCCACCAGGAGCAAGCCTAAGAATGTTCAGACGGCTAACATGACAGATATCTATCCCGGGAATGTTAAGGAAGGCCCTCACCAGCCTAGCACCCTCAGTAGCATAAACAATCAAAGGCCCCTTGCGAGATATGTAGCGGGCACAGTCTCGATCCGATGTCCACGAGCAGCAACGAGGGAAGGAACAGCGGAGGCAGCTATGGCTGAAGCCGTGGCGAGCCTCTTCTGATTCGCGGGGATCCTACGGTGCCACCGGCGCCAGATCTTGGTGGGGGCGAACATTCTCCCACCACGACACATGTTCCCGAACGCACCCTGTCCGGCACGCCGAGTACCGCCACCGCGAACGCGGGGGGTACGGGACGCGGCGCGGCCGGTACCCCATGACCCGGCGGAGGTCTGGTGGCCCGCCTTCGACGACACGGCGTAGGGCTGGCGGGAATTTTTGGAAACGTTGGAGTGGACGAAGGTGACCACGTCGGGGCGGATCGGAGCCTTCATCACATTCGCCAGAGGGACTGAAATGCCGGCGGATCCATCGGTGGCCATGTCATTTTCAAGGGGCTGAACGGAAACGAGAGGGCGTGCGGCGGCGATGGCCATTGCTAAGGGGGGAAGCTGAGGTGAGGAGGGTTTAGGGTTTTAGTCATTTCCCATTTAATATAAATATATGCAAATGAATATAAATAAATAAACAAAGTGAATGAATTAAAACACATAAATATATAATTAAATAAATATAAAAATGAAACGTAAATAAATAAAAAATCTATTATATACATAAAAGTACAATATGAAAATGTAACCCTAGCCACAAATTACAATCAATGGTCCAATTTCAATTGAGATCGAGAAAGGATAGATCTGAGTCATTGATTCCTCATTAAATTCTATTCCAAAACACCCTTGCATCCCCACCACTGCCTAACTCCACATGCTAGAGTTCTAGCAGCTGCCCCAACCGCCCCATCATCACTGCATCTGCCGATCCCGACCACCAACACCAGAATCGTCACAACTTACTGCACCACCTCCGCCATCCCCCACCACCATCGCACCAGCTCCACCTTCACCACCAGTCGCACCATCGCCATCTCTGGGAGAAAAAGAGAACAAAGAGGAGAAAGATGAGAAAAAGATTATTAAACACAAAATCCACACAAAGAGAGAGAGTGTGTGCGTGCTGCGAATACAGTTTATGCGCATGTAACTATTTTTCAAGATGACCAAGTTATTTAGTATAAAATGTTCAATGTTGAACAGTCTGCTTTTGAAAAAAATCATTCTTTATTTTCAATTATGACATTAGGGAAATCGTATACATGCTTTTTGCGAAAAGTATTTGATCTCACGCTTTAAGCCTTTGCTAAAAGAGGGTGAAAGTACATAACATACAGAATCCGATCATCTAAAAGAAATACTCATTGGTTGACAGACCATAAATACAAACTTACATCGGTAAAGGATACCATCGTAACAGCTGTGGATGACGACTCATTTCATGGAATCATATACAAGTTTGGAAATTTCAAAGAACTAAACAGTTCCATGGATATTCAGAATCGAGTCATGTTTGGTATATTTCACGTTTTTTATTAGAAACTTAACATATTTCTTTATTAATTAAAAGTTTTGAGTGCATCATATTTTGGTGTATTTTAGATGTCATTTGTTTATTAAGCGTTGATCGACCACCAACACAAAGAATTAGAAAGTTAGAGCGGAACTTAGATTCACGGATGTTTGCTTGAGGATTTGGAGTACATAGATTTTTTTGATTAACTATTTTTAAATTCCAGTTTTGTGTATTTGCTAATTCTATTTTTTTAATCCCTATATGCAGTGGCCAGATCCTTCGTTGTACCCTTTGGGATTCTTATGTGGATAAAATGATGGATTTTGTGAATCAAAAGCCGAGTCATCCAATGGTTGTCATATTACAATTTTGCAAAGGAACTGTTTTGGATGATATTTTCTATTATTAGCAGTTTTAAAACATAGTATACTTGAGTCTAAGTAATATTGGTATAGCAAACAGAACTTAATAAAAATAGAACAAAAGCTTAATTTGCATTGTTAAAATTACTTCAAATGCTCACTGATTTTTTACATTATGTGGAACAGAGCAAAAAGGGGCAACCACTGTCTATGATGTTACAAAATTCAGTCTAGATCAAAGGCTTCAACCTATAGTGGAGTTCAAGAAAAAGTATGTCCATTAAACTTTAGTTGTGTTTATTTATCTAAGGATATGTGCTTAAAGAAAAATATGCAACTAGGGGTGGACACGGTACGGTTCCGGGATGGTTCTAGAACCGCCGATTCCGGTACCGCCACCCCTAAGCACCGTTACCGTCACCAGACCGGAGGTCAACTATTCCAAATCTCAGATGATGATAAAGGGTTTACAAGAAAATGATATTAGGGACATTCTGAGTTTGGCTAAAATGGAAAGAGGGTAAACCTCTTTCAAGTATCCTGGAGGCCCTATATCTGCGTTGGAGTCGTGCACGACTAATTTAGATGAGAAACAAAAAAGATGAAGTGTTGCTAGGGATGCTTGTTAATTGAAGATATGCCGACTGAGCAAGCTGATGTGACAATCTCATCTTAAATCAAGAGGCGCCGGTGATGGATCTAGAAAAGAACGATTGTGGTTGGTTGGGAATATTTTTTTTGCTAGATGGAATTATGAAGGAATTAGGATCAAAGGAAGAACAAGCTAAGTGACAGTGAGGCCGCCGTCGCTAGACAAACCACCGGCGGCGGTGCAAGCAGAAACCATTAGGTCACCAAGAGCAAAGGCTCCGATACCATGTAAAATAATAAATAACGTTTTTTTTATTGAATAATTTGAAGGAATACAAAACAGTGAATATATAGGTAGAGTTGGTGTATTCTAGAATTCTCCATATTAATGACTAGATAAATAAGGAAATATTGTATAATAATAACTCCAGTTATAATAGGTAACAACCATAATTATAATATATAATACTAAATATATTAAAATAATTAATATATTTAACAGTGATGAAGAAAATACAAGGAGTATGCAAGAAATTTTATGGGGATATTCATCAGATTACACTAGGGTTCCTTCTGTCAGATGGGAAGATGTATGCAAGTCTAGAAATGCAGGTCGTTTGGCTTTCAAAAACTTGTTTTTTTGGAGCTATGATTGCAATCAGAATCTAATTTGAGACATTGCCAACAAAAGGACATCTTATGGGTTGCAATCAAAATCTCTCGCAAATTTGTTAAGAGCTTTCAATAGAGCATATTTGATTGGCTCAACTATGAGTGGAAGGTTATAAATGTAGAAGCACAAAATGAGCTTATAAGCATTAAAAGAAGAATGAGAAGGCAAATCATGGTAGTTGCATTTGCTGCCATATATTATGCTATATGGAGAGCTAAGAATATGAAGATTAAACAAGGCAAAGATCAGACACATGAAGAGTGTGGTGAATGGATCCAATATCATTTGAAGATGTATATTAACGCTAATCTCAAAAGCATGCATTTGAAATAATTGTATTAGGAATAGATGTAATTGGTTATTAGTTCCTCTCTCTTGTATTTGGTTTAATGGATTGATACAAATGCACTTTTGGTTAAAAAAAGATTTGTTTTTTCAATTTACTTCCTAAAAATTTGGAAAAACAAAATATTTCTTTACTTATTCCGTCCAATTTAAGTTGCTTCTTTATTATTCATATGATCAAACTTTAATCACATTCTTTAGTTATTTGATAAAATAATATACTAGGGGTGAGCGTGGTACGGTATGGTACGGTATTTGGTTCATACCGATACCGTACCAAATATTTTGGTTCGGTATGGAATTTTACATCGTACCAATCCCGATCCCAAAGTATCAGCTCGGTATGGTTCAGTTTCAGTTTTGGTAAACATTGAGATGATGAATATATATATATACATACCTAGTTTAGACTTTGAAATGTACAAGACTTTTATTTTTATAAAATCGAAAGTACATTCAAATAAAGAAAGATAAACAATTGAAAATGAATAATTAAATGCAAAAATACTTATAAAACTTAGTTTAATTTATACCTCATATTTCATAAATAAAAGAGAACGAATTATAACAAAATAGAATTTCAAATGTTTGTTAACTTTTTTATATTTATCTACAAAAATTTAAAATTCAAACAAAAGATTATATAAAAAAGATTAGTTGTAATTCATCTACACTTGAACCAACTTTTCAAAATCAAATTATTTTTTAATAAAGAAATATAAAAAACATTGTTATAATTATAACATATTTGTATATATGTTTGGTTCGGAATTTTTTGGTATGAGAAGTTACCTCGTACCGATTCCAAATACCGGACCGACCATTCGGTTCGGTACAGTATTGTTCTTTTTCGGTACTTTATCGGTTCAGTATTTTCCAGTTTAGTAATCTCGGTTTTTTCGGGGAAACTTTGGGATCCGTTTGGTAGTTGCTCATCCCTATAATATACTCATGTAATTTCTTATTTTGTAAAATTTTCCATTTAATTATTAAATATGTAAATTTTATTATTTAATTGTACCCTAATTTTTATATAAATTTATTTAAAAGATAACTTTAGTCAACACATAAACAATAACATGAGATCTATAAATTGGAGGGAGGGAATATTAAATAATATTCCACAAAATTTTTATTTTATTGTTATATTTTGAAATTGTTTAATATTTATTTGGGGTAAATGTTGTTAATTTTTTTAACATTTCATATTGCTTCAAAAATAAAAATCCTAGGGCACCCCCCTGCCCTGCTCGGCCCCTGCTCTCCACAATCAATACTGAGAGGGACGGGTACCATTGGCGGGAAAACCCTACAATAACGAGCGCATACATTCTTCTGCTGTCCTGTTTTCGACTCATCTTCCCCAATGGAGAAATATTTGGTCCGAGCAGCACATGCTTCGCAAAACCCCAAAGCATCTCGAAGGTACTGTCGCATGCAAGGAAATCAACTTGGTTATCTTAGATTATCATCTCTTGTATCAAAATTTTTTCTTTTTAAAATATGCAACTTAGGCAGCCATGGCAGAGAGTTATTGTTGAATTGAACGGAAAAACAAATAGGAAATACATCCACGGCGCTTGTGCTCTATTAGCGCGATCCTATTCTGTGGTCAGTCGCTGAAATTAATTGATCTATTAATACTCCCTCCGTCCCGAATTAGATCACAATCATTTCTTTTCTCCTCTTGATAACTTTTGTTTATTTGTGTGTTTTCATTGAGAATTTGATAAATTAAAATATTCTTTGTCTCTTCTCATTTTGTAGAACTTTGATGTAGTTTTTTAGTATGTAATTTTGTTTCTTATTGATGTACAATAAAATGATTTCCAAAGACGAGAGATTTTGTCTCGTAACTCCCAATTTATAATCAAATTAGGGATGGAGTGAGTATATTATACAGTAATTGTAATTACAGACTATTTACTACGGAGTAATTATTTACATATTTACATTTGTTTCAGCTGGTGGGATTCCCTCACGCATATCACAACGGGGAAGTGCCATGTCCCACACATGTAATTGAAGTCTACTTGTTTTTCCTGCATTTTTTATTTATTGGTTTAATTGGTCTACCCCGAACAGGAATTTTGGAGTAGGATGTAAAGGGATCTGGTCATCTTGAATTTGAACTGGAACTGTTATCTAGCACCCTAGGCAGGACAGTAGTAGCCGGAGTGATGTCTGTGAAACATTACTAATATTAACTTTCTTTCATACAATGTCCTTGTTTTTTCCTTTTTTTCTTGATTTATTACACCAGATGAACTTGTTTCTCCGTGGAACAGATGACCAAAATCCAATAGGCAGGTATCTTTTTGTCCTTTTTTCACCTTTTCATTTTCTGTTGTATATCTTTGCACACCCACACTGATACCAACATATGTGCATAAATTATGTGTGTTCCTCAGTGGGTTGAATTTTTGTTGATGATTTAAAAGTTTTACGAGTAATGAACAATTGAACATGTAATACGAGATTATGTGCTCCGTAAAGAAATATTTGGCAGGAATTGCAATTTTTCCTTTGGTAATATCTTGCCAGTTGCACTTTTTCCTTCTTACTTTGAGTTCTATTCAATGGCTAACCTCTAACTTTTTAGGCAAATAAAAACAACACTTTATCCGTGAAGTTCCCCCTTTTCCTTTGAGACTTACAAATATTACTTTTTATACACTCTGTACTTAATGTTTGCCCTTTGGTACAATGGTTTACAATGATCCGAAAACATTTCTTTTCTTGGGTCTACATTCCTGCCTTCATGCTTCCCTGTGTTGCCTGATATGGCCTCGGACCACTTGATATTCTATTCTAGCAAAAAGAAAAGAAATCAAAATGAGAAGGGAAACCAGCTAAACACCCAATATGCAGCATCCTGTTGACGCATAGTTGAAGTAATGGAGTGGGAAAACATAGTTTCAAATATCAAGCTCCTAATGTGCACAACAATCACAAAATGGATTAAAAAAAAGGGTTTCCCAGTTACATATTCAATGGTTCCTACTTTATTTAAACACACAATATACTAGAAACAAATGCATTCACTTCTTCATAACGGCCTTCACCCAGGACATCAAATAAGCATTTTAGAATATCAGCTCCAAGTAGCTGCACCTGGTCTCATTTTGTTGGAGGTTACTTCACGGTATTATTGATTATTTCTCTTTCCATTAATGTCTCCTTCAAAATTTCCCATTGCTCTTCGTTGTGCAACTTGGTCTTGCATCTTTACTCTATTTGGTCTTTGAATTAGTTACTTTACTTTGTTCCTGCTACAGAGATTTTCAATTGTAATTTACTATGCTTAATAGGTTTGTTTCTAATAATATACACATGTTCTCCTCTTGTGTCTGTTCACTTTTTCTTCACATTTTAATGGTTTATTAGCAAAAAAAATTGATTTAGATCTTTTTTAGTTGCTTAAATAAGGTGCAACTTTTTTTCCCCACATATATGCTGCATATTTTCAAATTCTATCTAAGTAGTTTTTTTTGTATCTTGACAGTGAGGGCGTATCTGCACTAGAATTTGATCGAAAGGTAATCATCAAATTATATGAATCTAGATTGTGCTTTATCAACATTTTCTAATCATCTTTTTAATGTTTTTATTTTGTTTTCGTTTCTTTGTTTTCACTTTATCTTGTCAAAATTATCATAAGAATGAGTCTACACACATACATGTATGATTTTTATTTTTGTGATTTGGCTGATCTTGGTTGTGTATGAGGCAAATGCCAAGCTCAATACAGGGGGGTGGGGGGGGGGGTGCTTAATTTAGCTTGTTTGAGATTCCAATGAGGCAAATGGACATTGAAAATTAGGGGCACATCTGTGATATGGCCACGTGTGTGCGTTCAGTGTTGTGGCTAAGACTAGGGAGTATGACCGATAGTGCTTGATTTTGATAATAATAATGAAAATTGGTGCAACAGCTACTACTATTACTACCCCAATGACCGCCACCACTCCTACAACAACTACGACTACCATGTGGATGAAAATTTTCTTTTGCATAAGTGTAGATTTCTTTCTTCAAAGGCTTGATTACTATGCTCTGCAGGGGGTTTATTTGGCATCGGTAACAAAATCAGGTTGCTTAACGGTGCATGATTTTGAAGATCTATTCTACGAAGGTAATGAATTGTGATATAAGTTTCCTGAGATTTCAATATATTTCCACCATATTTAAAAAGTCTGATGAGGGTGAGACTGGTTTCTGGTGAGCAACAATGGTACATAACAAGGAGTCCAATATAGTATTAAATCTGTGTTGATCAAGTTGATTGGCTGTTATTAGCAAGTGGCATCGAGTCATGGACTAGTGCTTCAGGCTGAACTCTTATTCTATTGTAATCTTCAATATGACATCCATTGCACCATATACTTCTATTATAGTTCATACCAATACCTCATCCGTGCTGTTTGTCCCCACAACTATTATTCATGGGTTTTGGATTTTGGATTCAAGTGCCCCATACCCCTATCTTGTACCTAAAAGACTAAAACCAATGTGCGAGCTGGTCAAGCTCTCCCATCGATTTTGTTACCATCCGAGTATGTTTTATTCTTAATATATCCACGTCTCTTTCATCATTATCCTTGTTAATAGTTAAATGCAAACCTTTGTAGATCTATTACCTTTTCTCGTGACTCGGGTACTATCAAAGATCATACCATATGAAAGGTATTGTTAGTTCAACATTAAGAGTTTGGGCCACCTTATTCTTTCAAAACTCCCAATAATGGTTCCAAGTCTATCCAATGTTTCAAGTTAGAGAGAGTTGTTTCAACCCAAAAAGTACTCCCACCGGTCATTTCTCAAGCATGTCAATAGCCTACTTTTTTAAAGTTAGTTAATACTTCACATCAATGTCTCGGTTCTTTTCGTGTGACCCTTTGGGGTGTAGTTTTTTGTCTCCATGAAGCAGAAAAATATAAATTTGGCAACATATGTATCTCTTTCACAGTGTGGATGTGTTATAGGCGTGGTAAGGATAAGGTAGGATTTTTGGGTAAAGCCTACCTAAGAAGAGTTTTGTTTGTGACATTGGCCATGAAATACCTGACCTTGTCAAAGTCTTTGTAATGTTCACAATGGTCTTGGTGGGCAAGTAAATAAAGCTCTTATGTATTACAATTTTGCTATTAGAATTATTAACTAAGATATAATACAAATTCTAAGAGGAAACTACTACTCCCTCCGTCCTAAAACTTTCTTCTTAGTTATTATTCACATGGTCAAATTTTAATCACATTCTTTACCTACTTTTCTTTAGTCATTTGATAAAACAATATAGTCATGTCACCTCTTGTTTTGTAGAGCTTTAGATGAGTTTTTAAATATATAATTTTTAAAATAGAGTTGGATGTTAGGAGAAACTGGAACGTTTGGAAGGAGTTAAAAACCAAGAAGTTAGAAAAAACTAGGAGTTGGAAGAAATGGGAAAGAGTTACATGAAACTAGAAGAAGTTGGAAAGAATTGGAAGTAGATATAAAATTCTGGAAGGAGTTAGAAGAAAATGAAAGGAGTTGGAATAAACCCGAAGTTGGAAGAAATTAGAAAAGGTTGAGAGTTGGAAATATTGAAATGATTTGAAATAAATCATAAAAATTTATATTTCATATATATTCTATTATTCTTTATAAATTTCATATTTTTACTGCCCCCTTTTGTTTCAATGTCAACCATACAATTTTTCTTTGTTTTTTAAATTGCATGCCACTGACCCATTATGTGCTGATGAATAGACACTTAGTTGATACGTACACCATGAACTCTTTTACTTCATGCAAACACTCACCATTTTGGGCTAGTGTTCTCACTTATTAAATAATACCTTAGTATCAACTTTGAACATCACACCAACGTGAGTTTGTTATGTTCAACATGCTTATTAATTTTTGATTCACTTATCTACTCGACCAGGAAAAGTATTGCCTTTAGGTTTTAAAGAAGATGAAGGAAAACTATTGTTGCATGTAGCTACATATAATCAACTTGATGCTGTTAGATGGAATACCTGTAATCAAAATGAGGTTTGGTGTCCTTGAATCTGCACTTCATGTTTTTTAAGCTAATGATTTCCTACTATATATTTTTATAAAGTTTGCAAACATTTTATCTTGATTAATATTCCAGTAAATAGGTCACCATATGTTTGATGAAACATTCCTATATAAAATGGTTCAACCAATGCACAAAGCATCTCCACCTAGCAAGGTGCGAGGTTCCCCACCCCCCAAACAACAAAGTAATCTTATCTCTCAATTTTGCAAGAGGCTACGTAACTCCAAATGGTGGTTTCGAGGTCACACGACAACACCATTACCACTGAGCCAAGGCCCCCTTCGTACATCAGCAATAAAATCCAATATAACTCGAACTTTGCTGGGTCTAGGGGGGCTCAATGATATACACAACCTTAACTGAGTAAAAGCTGAAGGTCTCTGTTAGATAATGTGCCATTTTGATTTAGCAAATGGTATGTAGATAGTGTTACTTTAAGTTATGAGCGCTTTATCTACAAATTTAAGTTGTCGAATAATTGCCTCTAAATTGTTGATAATTCTCATAATACTATTCTTTAAATTCAGGTTGCATGTACATCTCTAAAGAGTTCTGAAGTATATATATATGACATTGGTTATGTATCTTCTGAACCTGTTGATGTAAGTTACAGATTTTCTTTTCATTTAATGCCATCATCTTAAGTAACCATTGGTCAAATTCATATTTTTTAAAAGCGTCAAACTATCACCTTTCAGAAGTAATAAACTCATCCTTCTTCCAATTAGGAGGAATATATTTTTTCTCCATCTGCTATGAACATATAGCATTCACTAGAAAATACTTTCATTTTTAGGTAGCAGGATATTTATGTGCTTTGGTCCTTGTATGTAATGTTTGGAACTTCGTAGTGCCATAAAAAACATTGCTTTTGCTATAAGTAAACTTATAAATGTGGAGACCCATTATCCAAACTGCCCATTCATCCCTCACCCAGTCCGTATAGTGAGCATGAATTTGTATATTGTTCAATATCTTAGAACTTCATATTCTACACATTTCACTAGGCGTGAGACTGTTTTGCTATAAATTTACTTGAAACATCATTAGCTCGAAGCCTAATCTTTTTAAAATGTTGTTACTAAGTTTTTACGGTTTGTGCAGGTGCTACGAAAGAAGCCTACAATCAGCATTACTGGATATACAGCCCAAAAAGGTTTATCAGATATTGCCTTTTCTTCAAGTGACACTTCAAGGTTGGACACACATTCATTACTCCTTCCGTCATTGTCCTACTGTTATGAGAGGCGAGAGGCAGGCAGTCAAAAGGCAAACATGGGATGTAATATATATATATATATATAGTAAATTCCATAATTGTGGTCCTTTTATGAATACCTTTCTACGAATAGTCCTTTTTTGACCTTCTGTTATGTTGGTGTTAATTTGAGGGCTAAAAGTATAATTTGACATCAATCTTATGTTCAGTGACATATTCTGATGTCGGTTAGACGAACAACACAAATATAACGACTATGATTGTTGACTAAGATTCCGACGAAAGACCACATCTCTTAACTATTATGGTTGTAGTAGAAAGCGACTTTAATTCACAAACAACACATGAGGAGTGCCCTGTTAAGTTGTGTATGATAAGAAAGATATATGATCATTGTGAAATTATACTTTGTGTCCTCAAATTAACACCAACATGATAGAATATCAAAAAAAGACTATTTGTGGAAAGATCCTCGTTAAAGAAGTACCACCGGGTAATATTTGATAAAAGAGGACTAAATAGGGAAAACCCCTTCTTATAAAGAACTAATTATAGAATTTACTCATATATATGTATATGTGTGTGTGTGTGTGTCTATATATATATATACTCCCTCCGTCCATTAATTAAGTTCCCGGTTTGACCGGGCACGCATATTAATGCATGATAAAAATTGTATTGACTTTCCTAATTTACCCTTAACATGTCTACTACCCCTAATGCTTCTCCACCAAGGTGAGTCATCATCTCTCACTGTCAAAGCTACCGCCGACGACTCCCCTGCAGCGCCGACAACGATTCTCCGGCATTGCCGCCGCTGACTCTCCGGCACCATCGCAGATGACCTCTCTTGCACTTGTAGCCACCATCACCTCCACAATCCCCACCCAAGTAAATCTGTTCTGGATCTTCTCATGGAAGACAACACATCGGTAAAAGAATAGATGCAAGGTTTTAATGGCGGAAAAAGAGCAGATCTAAGGTTTTGACTGAGGCGGAAGAAAAGATTTTGCAAATCGAACATGGGAGCATCAGAGGATTTGTAGATCTATACCATCACTGCCAGTAATGTCGAAAGAGGAGCGGATCTTACCGCCGGCTCGCTGCTCCACCATTAATTTCGATCGCCGCCTCGCTCGCAATCAATGGGTGGTAGGCCAAAATCAAAAGGGGAAAGAAAAAAAGATAAAAGAAGATGAAGAAGAAGAAAAAAGAAGAAGATGATGACGATAGAAGAAAAGAAAGAGGAGGAAGAAGAAAAGAAAGAAGAAGAAGAAGAAGAAGAAAAGAAAGAAAGAAGAAGATGACGATGATTGGTGGAGAGAAGAAGAAAGATGGAGAAGATAAGGATTGGGTGGTGGCGCTGGATAGACTTGCCGAGAATGAAGAAGAAAAGTAAGGGAGGGTAACAAAGTCATTTGATATAAAAAAACTTGCCAAAAGAAGTAATGGGAAGATAATTTGTGGATGGACGAAAAAGGAAAGTGGGAAGTTTATTTATGGACGGAGGGAGTATATATGAGATACATTTAATTAAAGAAGGTAAAGTATAAGGAGAGGACTGGACTGACAGAAAAGAAAAGAAAACAAACAAAGAGGACCACACAGTGAGCTTTGTACGTGGATAGATCACCTGTTGGGCCAAATTTATGATGAAAAGCCATTTGCCTGAAATTACATTTTGTTTGGGGCAGGGGTATTATTCTTCATCAAAGCATTAAATTCATCACACATTGCATCATTCCAATTTGGGTCTTTTTGTGCACTACGGTATGTTGAGGGGAGGGGAGAGATATGGGCCGTGATGCTGAGGTTTTGGACATGCTGTGGATGGGAGATACCAGATTTGGCCCAAGTGATAATGGGATTGGTGTTTTCGGTTGCAAGGGCCTGCAGATCTTGTGGGTTGAGGGAGCTGGGCCGGGTTGTGGGTTGGGCCAAGGGGGAATCAGGAGGAGTGGAGGTTCAAAGGGTCGGGGAAGTGGGGATTTGGGCTGGCTGGATCTGTTGAGCTACATGGGGATTTTGTGGCGGTAGGCGGTAGGTGGAGTGGTGAAGGTGATAGGGGTTGGCGTCCTACATGGAGTCAAGAAAGAGAAACATTTGGTGTAATTGGGTGAGTGAAAGGAAAAGTGGACTCATAAAAAATAACATGGTGTGGAATGATTGTTTTATGAGTGGAAAGATCTAGACACGAAAAGCTATTTTGATTGGACGAGTAGCCAAGAAAAATGCACTGAGCCGAGCATGGTGATAGTTTATGATTGGCAATTGCGGAGGTGTTGGGGGAGCAAAGGCATCCAAAGACTCGGAGATGGGAGTAGTTGGGGGGGAATACCAAAAAGTGCCTCATGGAGAGTGTGGTTTTGTAGGGTGATGGTGGTGGCTAGGAGGTTAAAGAGATGAGAGACCATATGTAGTGCTTTAACCCAATATGTGGGAGGGAGTTGGGCTTGGAAAAGGAGAGTTCGAATGGTGTTGTTGATAGTGCGGATTGGGCGCTCAGCTCGGCCATTTTGTTGGCTGGTGTGGGGGCAAAAGAATCAAAAGAGAATACCTAGGAGTTAAAGATGGTTTGAAGGGGGGTGTTGCGGTACTCAGTTCCTTTATCGCATTGAACACATTAAATTGATTTTTCACATATGCGATAAAATTAGTAATATGAGAAAAGGCATCTGATTTGTGTCGTAGAGGAAAAACTCACAAGTAGTGAGAAAAATCATATAAGAGAAGCATATAAAATATAAATCCATAAATGCTGGGAACTAGAGATTGCCATAAGTCGGTGTGCATTAATTGAAAAGGAAAAGTAAAAGCACAAACAAGAGTAAAAGGGAGATGAACATGTTTCCCTAATTGACAAGCATGGCACAAAGAATGTTGTATATGTTTATTAAATAAAGGGGAAAGACTAGGGACTCCATGAAAGACTACCATGCTAGGATGTCCAAGGTGACGATGCCACGTTTGAACAACAACTGAGACAAAATTGGCATTGATGGCAGGGTTGGATGGGCACACATGATAGAATTGGCCTTCATTATTGGACCGATGAATCACGGATCCCGTTCGAAGATCCTTCATAGAAAAATCATTCGAGTCAAATTCAATTGTTATCACTGATAAATTGCCGAACGGAAATGCGGTTATGGATAATATGAGGGGAAATAAGAACATTATTAAGGGCGAGGAGTGGGGAGGTGGGAAAAAGGTGGTTTCCAACAGCAGTAGTGTGCACTTTTCAACCAATACCAACAGTGATGAAAGATGGTGAATTTAAAGTTTGGGAATTAACATGAGAAGTAGTATCTGGGTCGGAGGCAATATGATGAGAAGCACCGGTGTCCATGAACCACTTGCGTTCACAGAGGGTCTTGGAGTCAAAATGGTGAGCCAAGGCGGTTGGTGTTTGGGAGTGGGGGGTGCCAGGTAGAACCCGTGGGGTGAAGGAATGGGTGTGGTGACTGCCGGGTAGGGGTAGGGGTATTGGGTTAGGTTTAGATATGGGGTGGGGGTAGGGTAGGGGTTATTTGGATAAGTGGGTTGTGCATAGTAGGCTTGGGCGGGGTACAAGTTTGGGTTTGGACGAGGTCCCAGGAGATCTGGGCCCGGGTTTTGGTTGGGAATCTGCCAAGGTACATAGCTGCCATAACTGGACCTTGTGTTTGGCCCAGCGTTTCGACCACGTCCATGTCTGAGATAAGGCTTCCTGCCCCGTCCACCGTTGCTGTTTTGACATCGGCCACTGCCGAAGGAGCTGCTGCAGCTCCCTTGCCCGATCGCAACAAGGGCGGTTGAGCCGTCTCCGCTATTGATGAGGGGGCGGCGTTGCTATTGAAGAGAAGAAGAGCCGAGCGTGTTTCAAAGAAAGTGGGTTGCGGTTTCTGAATATGTAGGAAGGAGGCCTAGCCGCTGAGGTCATTTGGAAGTCCACGAATAGCCTGAAGAATGAGTTGGTTTTCGATGACCGAACGTCGACATCATTGAGCCAATCAGAAATATTCCCGAGAGTCTTACAATATTTGGTAATCATCGATAAGCCTTTGACATTGTTGTAAAATTTGCTCTCCAATTGCATGGCACGAGCGGCTTTGTTGTCATGAAGGAGGTTGTAGATTGCTTTCCACAGACCAACAGTAGATGTGGCGGACGAGATGATGAGATCAGAGACCTCATCGGTGATGGTAGAAAGAATCCATCGCTGAATAAGGGCGTCAAGTTGAAGCCAATCAACGTCGTCCTTGCCGGAGGATACCGTCGCACTGGTGCGGTAGCCTTCAAGATTGAATCGCCGAACCAGGAGAAAAAAGAGTCAGGCTCCACTTTTTGTAGTTTGGTTCCGAGAAGCTCAATAGAATAGGAACATGAAGAAAGACATCTAATGGAATATGAAGTGATGATTACAATTAATATTAGATATAATATTATTTATATTTAACATGCTTCCGACGTCGGTAGCTGAAGAGAGTGAACCCCAAGATTCTCTCGAAAATCTTGAAATAGCATGGATGGGAGACCTTTGGTAAAAATGTCTGCATATTGAGAAGATGATGGAACATGAAGAACTCGTACTTGACCTAGAGCAACCTTGTCCCGTACAAAGTGAATCTAAGGAAAGAATAATAAAATGAATACCATACAAAGAAGGAAACCACTAAATATAGACAATAATAAATATGTAAATATTTAACAGTGAGAGGCTATGATAATCTTTTTCTTGAATTCTTATATTACCTTCTACAGTATTGTATTGATTTAAATATGCATCCTAGTGCATCTTATTTCAACTCCTCATTAGCTTATATCATGAGCAAGTTGGTAGGTAGATTTTAAGTGGAACCTATGCCTTTAAGCAATGAAATTCTTATTGCACAGTGTGTATGCCGATGTTGAATCAAGGCATATATTAACTCACATGAGCTATATTTACAATTTATTTAAGTTATAAGCGTGTTAACGTGTAACCTTTCATAAGAGTATGGCAGAAGCTATAATGCATATACTCAAGCTTCACCACATTAGGTCCCATGATGAATCTTGAAAGTAGGAGAGAGATCCTATTTTAAAACTAGTGTACAACGTGCCTTAATTTTGTTGAACATAAGCATAGCTCATTGTATTTCACCCTAATTTTTTCTCATCTAAACAATATCTGTTCATTGCCAGGTTGTTTGCTTCTGATTTCTCTGGTATGGTGAATGTATGGGATAGAAGAATGAGTGATTTTCCATATTATGAGCTCAGAACGAATTGCAATGATGCTATTACTAGCATAAAGCTTAGCTCTGATAATCAGGCCAGTTTAGAATCAGACTTTGATAGACATTTACTTAATACATAGCACTGTACGAGTTGATGAAGTATAATAAAAATTACATGAATGCGGAATTCCTAACTATATTATAGGTTGTGTTTGGAGGCAGCAAGCATGGGTGTATATACATTTGGGATATACGCGGTGGAAGATCATCAGCTGCTTTTCAGAATAACATGGTATTAATACTTTTACGCATATACTCCCTAATAATTCAATAATACGAGGAATATTTTTATTTTATTTTTGATCCAAGTGTATATGGGGAGTTGGATGCATCCTGCTCAGAAATAAAATTTATTCTGGTATCAATGTTAAACTTCACATTTCTTGGGAAATTCAATCATATCATACTAGGATAGTTAGACTTCTTTCAGGATTGTTATAGTGGATCGGAAGTCCAAGAGTAAAATAATCGGTATATAAGCTCTTGAGTTGAACTAACTAATCGATTGGTTTCAATCTTTTAATATGGTTCAGCCCAAGTGTCTTATTGCCCAATCCAGTTATCCTAACCCCATCCTAAATTTTGACAAAGATCAAGTGGAGGAAGTGCATTCTTCATCCACGTAAAACTTACCAACATACATGAGATATGTGTAGCATTTAGCGACACACATATATAATTTTGGTCATGTATGGTATCTAAATATTGAGTCACATTACCAATTTACCATTAATGAAGTACCCTCTTTTTTGCAAAAAAAAAGTACCCTCTTCATCCCAAATTGCACTTTTCCACCAGCTATTTTCTCTTTAACAGAGTTTAAGAAAAAAAGTAAATTATGTGGTTGAGATTTATGTAGTGGAGAGAGAATAATGTCAACCATTCAATATTTTCCATCAAAGGAAGAAGTTTTTTTTTGGACTAACCAAAAAAGAAAGTGAGAAGATTATTTCACGACGGAGGTAGTATAATTAAAAAGAATGATTCCAATATTTTTGCAGATAGTTCTTTGGTGTTTCACATACAAAAATTCCTCTTCTGGTCCCACAAGTATTAGACAAGTGGTCCACCGCAGGTCTTTAACTTTTTTTCTTCACATTTAGTGCACAACTATCAATTTGTTACAAGTTATATAGCTAACTATCCTGCAACTTTGTTGTCTGAACAATGACATGTGATTCCAAATTGATCACTGTAAGGAGGAATAAGTGAAAGACAGATACCACATGTGGTGATGTGGAAATGTACTGAATGTCTCAATTGTAATGTTGGTTTATTCAGGAATATTGTTCTCCTCTATCGTCTGTGAAGTTGGAAACGGAGTTTGGGAAAATTAGATCTTTGAAGGTATGTACATCAGAATGTTAAATCGTGCAAAAGCAACATAGTATTATGCCAACTGATTTGGGGTCTGGGTGGTCAAGTTATACACAGTCTTACCCTTGTAAAAACTGAGTCTGCCCAAAACTTGATACAAAGTAATAAGCCAATTAAGGTTAATGTGCCATTTTGATTAAGTCCATTATTTATCCGTAGTTAAAAGTTAAAACATTGTAAATGAATCACTCTTTTAGCTTCATAAAATACAAATAATTATTTAGATTAATAGCACAATTATTCTTTGAGAAGGTTTAGTTTCAAGTGATAAGTGTTTTGTTGTTCTCTTTACAACCATTCTCACATATACATGCATAATATTTTAACTTTATAGGTATATTTATTAACAACTGTAATCTAACTTGAATATTGTCACAACAACAACAAACCCAATGTAATCCGTCAAGTGAGGTCTGAGGAGGGTTAGATACTTAGATGTACACCAGCCTTACCTCCACCCATGAGAGATGGAGAGGCTGTCTTAGATAGACCTTGGGTCAAAGGAATAAAACCAGAGTAGGCCACCAAGAAAGTAAGCAAAGAAACACATATAGATAAATTGAATTAAAAAACTAGCACAACCCCTCACATTATCCGGAAGGCACAGTCTACTGCACAAGGACTAAATGTCTAAGGTTTAATTCTTTTCTTAACTCTAATAACTTAACAAACAGCTGTAAGGCTGTAACCTAACAGTGTGAATTCTTCTAGTCCAACATATACCATTTGGATAATGGGTACACATGATTAATGTGTGGTTAGGACAAGAGAAAAGTTTTAGAAGAGAGAATGGTATATGTTGCATCTGATTATATACCATTCATATATCATACGGAGTAATTTATGTAAAACATGATTTTCAGGTGTCTTCCCACCATCTGCTGTGGGTTATTCTTAGATGCTTATTACGGTGTCACTTGCAGATGCTTATCCTTTAGTTCCGGGCTAAGGATCACGACTGATTAGCACTTTAGATTGTCTCTAGAATGAATACGAGCCTAGTACCTCCTCTCTCTAGCTCTTAGCCGACAGTCATGAGGCCATTAATAAGAATGCTTTGGGTTTCTTGATGTTATTAGTAATAATATTAGTATTTTAGTTAAGTCCTGAGAATATGGCAGGATCTGATTTGGCCATTAATATGGGTGATTTAGGCATTAATATGGGAGATATAGTTTCCTTATATTAGCACCCTTCTTATGTATATATATAGTCATTTTGTTATATGTAATTATGTATTATGAGGAAAACCTCTGATTATCAGTCACATGGTATCAGAGCCAGTGTGCTCTAGGGTTAGGGTTCATTATTTGTAAAAAAAAGGGGGGGGGGCATCTGCCATTTTGACGCTGTCTCTAAGGGTGCTCGCCTGACGTCACCGCCACCGTGGGTGGAGTCGCACGTTCCAGGAGAACAATTCTGGAGAATCTCTCCTTCGTTGGAGACCTCACGTCAGATCCACTGTAAAAAATCACTGTCAGGGTCGCCTGAGTCATCTAAGCACCTGTGCAGACTCAGTTTGGACATTCAGTGGGTGATTTTTGCTCTGTCTTCCTCTGCCGATCAGGTTTTGTTCAAATTTTAGTCCATTGAAATGGGTGATAAGTCTAGTGTCATCACTGAAGTTTTTCCAGTCATGTCAAAAATCACAGAGAGGAAACTTAATTCCTCTAATTATCTGGAATGGGTTACGACTATTAAACTATATCTCCGAAGTACTGACAAGGACGATCATATGACTGATGATCCTCCTAAGGATGCAACTACTAAGAAAGTGTGGTTGAGGGATGATGCTCGACTATTCCTCCAAATCCGGAACTCAATTGATGGGGATGTGCTTGGGTTAGTTGGCCATTGTGAAACAGTTAAAGACTTGATGGAATATTTGGAATTTCTATATTCAGGTAAGGGAAATCTTACTCGTATCTATGACGTATGTAAGGCTTTCTATCGGGCAGACCAGCAGGATCAATCTCTTCAAGCATATTTCATGGACTTCAAGAA